ACAAAATATGGCGTCCATCGAATCACCTTAAACACCGAGTTTTACAAATCGAAAAAGGCAACAGCGAAAAGCCGGCGCGGGTAAGAACTCATTATCCTGGAATCGAAACGCGAACGCTGAATGCGTCGTAATAAAAGCAATCGCGTTTTCCTCCTCCTTCGGAACGCGGACCCGGCTCGGTTCTTAATATCCATTCCTCTTCTCCTTTTTTTCACTTATTTTAATGCCGCTGATCCTCATTCCCTCGTTTTTTTTTTCAATTACCGCGACTCACCCCCCCCCCCCTCCATCCCTAAGATCTTCCCGTTTCATCCCTTCGGCCGGGAAGCCGCTTATGGATGACCAAACGGCACGATATCGTGAAATTTCGCTTTATTGAAACGAGGCGAAACGAACGTATCCGTGCTGAAAGGAACTATGTGAAAAATGAAATAAAGAAAAGGGAGCTGAGTGCGTGGGGTTTTTACGCTTCATAGTCCCTTTTGATTTTACTAATTTTTACATGGTAGCTACCTTTTATTTAGCATAAATACGTTCAAATGATCGGCGTCGTTTCGAAGCCAGAGATTGAAATATCGTGAGCCTGTTGAAGCTGCGGATACTCCAACGAAGCAACACATTAAAAGTGCCTGCTTTCTCTATTCAAAGAGACTTTCATCGGAGTCTGGATAGCATGATCGATTTTTCAACAGTTGATGGACCAATACACAAAACGAGAGTAGACATATACTGACTGATTATTGAAATGAAGGTGATTCGATAGACGCCACATTTTGTGTCAGAACGGCATGCGATATATCGCATCAATTGTTTCCATTTTTTCAGCTACTCGTCATTTTTCTCCAAATTTGAGATCGCAATTCTGTTGTCAGGAGACTACAGCACTCACTTACCGATTTTAACGAAGAAATTCAACGTAATAAAGGCGTGGTTTTTTTTAGAGAGAAAACATCGCATTCGATACTGATATCGAAACTGCACTCGAATGTGATATTTTCTCTCTGAAAAAACCACGCCTTTATTACGTTGAATTTCTTTGTTGAAATTGGTAAATGAGTGCTTCAGTCTCCTGACAGCAGAATTCCGATCTCAAAATTGGAGAAAAATGACGAGTAGCTGAAAAAATGGAACCAATTGATGCGCTATATCGCACGCTGTTCTGACACAAAATATGGCGTCCATCGAATCACAATACTGGGGCAACTGAGGAGGAGGAAACCATGATATGTGCGATTGTGATGGATGACGTCATATCCTAGGTTTTTTGAAGGACGATATTCCCCTTAATATTGGCCGAGGCTCGCTAGAGTCCGGCCGAGAGCGTTTTGTCGGATCTTGATAATTTTGCTGATCTAAAATAATCAAATCACGCGTCTATGCCTAAAGAACCTGACCCATTTCACTATTCGTACATTGTCTTCCTCCAAAAATTCACAGCCGAGAAAAAATTGCGTGAGAGGAAAAAAGTTTTTAAAATCTGCCCTTGACATTGAGTCTTGAGGAGGAATGAAACTGGAAACCTCCGTTGCCAACTTTTAAGAATCGCCACTAATGCGTTTCAGTGAAATTTTGTCTATTTCACACTTTCACAAGATGTACTTCCTTCAAGCCTTCGGACAGAACAAGTTGAACATAAGTACCGATAATATTAAAAAAATAGCTCAATAATTAATATTAATTACATTTTATATAGTGCTGGACGGAGATCAACTTTACCGTGAAACACTGATTGTCCTCTTTTTGAAAAACACAAATTCGTCAAGGAGCGGATTTAGGGGAAGGCCACATGGGCCGCGGCCCATGAGGGCAGAATCTGCAACTTTTTTAAATGTAGGTATAAACAAATCGGATTCAGGAAAAAATTACAAACGAGAAAAGGCGACAAAATCTCTCATTTCCTGAGGGTATAGTAATTTCTAATTTTGTTTTCTTTCGGTGATATAAGAGACAGCGCCTTCAATCAGTCGAGCTCAGAGAGAAACCAAACGCGCAATTTGGCCTGGAATGGCGCGGGGCGCAGAGAGGAATGATGACGAAGACTTGAGATGAAAAGGAGAAGTCCTTGGCGCGGCGATCGGCATGAAACACATATTAGCGCCTGCAAGACTGCATGAATACTCCACGCATTGCGACACACTCAGTGCGGCCAGCAGCGGTCGACGGGAAACGCATAGCGCCTACAAGACTGAATGAATACTTCACGCATTGCGTCAAACATAGTGCGTTCAACAGCGGTTGGCGTGAAACGCATAGCGCCTACAAGACTGTAGAATTACTTCACGCATTGCGCCAAACTCAATACAGTCAACGCGGCGCGGCGGCGGAAGTTAAAATTATTAAACCACGTTTATGTTTAGTCTTTCATAATTGCTTCGTTCATTTCTTATAAATGGAAGGCCTTGTCTACACAGAGATAGGTTTACGGAACCTAACTTTCGCACAGAGATAGGTTTACGGAACCTAACTTTCGCGCTAAGTTCCGTGAGCATTTGCTGGTAGTGTTGATAGGGCTTTTGCAAAAAATGTGTCCAACGCAAGAGTAAACGCGTCTTATGCACCTCTTTCCCTCCCGCACGTTCTTTTGATGGTTTTGATTGATGTTCCAAAACGAATGAGAAGGGGGCGGCAAAATACAGGCGGCCCATGGGCGGTAAGTAGGTAAATCCGGCCCTGAATTCGTCTCTCTCAAGCTTCGGTAGACCAATAAACGACATCTGAACTCATTGGTAGACTTGAGGCTCGCCTTCGATTTTGCTGGACAGGCAAAAAACCTATCAAAGAACACGAAACAGTTGCCTATTCGACAATCGCAAACTCATCTCTCTCTCCCTCCCTCTCTCTGTCTGGAGCTTTTATGGACCAATAAACAGCATCTCAACTCATGGGTATAGGTTCGCCTTCAAATTCGGTGGATAGGCAACAAATCTAACGAAGAGCACGAATTGAACGAAGAGTTGCCTGTTCGGAAATCGCAAATTTACCTCTTTCTCGAGCTTTAAAGGAAATACCAATAGACGGCATGTTAAATCATTGTCAGATATCATACTCTTAAAGTTCGCTCTCAATTTCGCTGGATAGGTAACAAACCTAACGAAGAGGACCAATAGTTGCCTTTTCGAAAATCGCTAATTTATGTCTCTCTCGAGCTTTGATGGACCAATAAATGACATAAGAACTGTAATTGCGGTAGATATCGTCCTCTTCAAGTTCGCCTTTTATTTCATTGGATAGGCAACAAACCTACCGAAGAGCACGAATAGTTGCCTACTCGAAAAACTCATATTTATCTCGCTCATGCTTTAGGATGGACTCCCGACTCCTAAAAGACGTGTAAATAATGCACTTGTTTACAAATGTTCGTTTACACTTTGAACGACACAGGTTGGGAAGGGACACAGCTCGATATTTGATTCAAGTAGACTGTGGTTTTTCATCCAAGCGGGGAACTCAAATTTTTCGTGACCAATGCTACACAAAAACCTTGATAAGTATCTTTATTGGGGGGTAATTTCAGTCATTTTTATATCGCAAATCGTGTTCTGCGTGAACTTTTGAAGACGGAGCAAATAACAGAATGCTTGAATTTGTATCTTGACTTATGGTCCATTTTTGGTATTTGGCTTTGAATTGCCGACAAGAAGGTTTGTTCGAGGCTCCTGCTAGAGGAAAAAGAGGAAAGATTCTTGCGGGAAGATCAAAATAGCTGACATATCACTGTGAGCACATTTTGAAAGTCTGAAATTGACTCCTAACTTCACAATCTACGTGAAAAATTTGCCATTTTTAAGCTCCCTTTTCCAAAACGTATTGTAGGCAATTCAGTTACAAACTTTTGCTGAAGCGAAGAAAGTAGGATTCTCAAGAGGAAAGGTCTGAAAAATGTGACTTTTCTTCTTCTTTTTTAATCAGATATCGAGAAGCTAAAGAGTGAACTTCAGACTTTCCCGATACAATCAGCGCGATGATCTCCTTGGGCTATTCCCCTTACAAAATAAATCTTCTTTTTACTCTACACTGGCCGGGGAAAAAAAACACATTGGATCTGGAGTCCAGACTCTTAAAAACATCGACAAGAAAAAGTACTCTTGATTCAATCAGAATCTAGCTTAAATCAAGAACCAAGCCTCTTAATTAAAGCGGATTTCCTTTTGATTTAAGCTTAAATTTGATCAAATCAAGAGTCCTTCTTCTTGTCAATGTTTTCAAGAGTCTGGACTACAGATCCAATGTGTTTTTTTTTTTCCAGTATAGTAAAAGTTTCTTAAAGGTTGCAAGGGACCCTAGTGTGAATTTCAGAACTGTTACTTACATCCTGTAATCTTGTTATCATGTTACTTCCAGTATTTAAGCCATATTTCCCGAGCGAAGGAACGTAACTCATTCCAAGGTTGCAAGATCGACTCGAACGATTCAATTTTTCACAAGAATGTAACGGCGTGATTTTTGACTAATTTTTACACAAGATCAGAAGAAAAATCGGTGAAAATTTCAGTTAGAGATAGCAACGATTTTCCTCACGGAAAAAAATGACATTGCTGATTTAACAATTTTGTAGTTGGGAAGTGTCAAACATGTTTCAATGCAGATTTTGCAGTAAACACATGCTAATTTAACCACCACGTGGCTAAATTAGCTTCTCACTGTTGAAAATGTATATTTGAAACACGTCGGATATATTTTTCAACAATTTAAGTGCTTGTTAAATCAGCAATCCATTTTTCCCGTGCTGCTGACAATGCAATTTGCGAGGGGAAATTTAGCAACATTGTAATGCAGTTACGTTCTTCCGTGAGGGAAACGACGATTTTTAGTGTTTTTTCCTTTCACTTAAACAATCAAATTGAGCCATCAAACTGAGGCTCTGATTGGTGGAAAAAGACCTGAATTGAGGATGCGACCAATGAGAGGCCCAATTTGATGGCTTAATTTGATCGTGTAACTGGACCTTATAAATTACGTGAAAATCTCATCCTAACCGAAGATCGACGTCCCTGTTGCAGGAGTCTGGCCCTGAAGAGCGGTTTCTTCGACTCGATGCTGACGTCATACTCCCTCCACGGGGGCCAGGGCCCCGGCCTCCAGGGTATTGGTCATCTCGCCTGCAATCAGACGAGCCTCCACCCGCTCTGCAGCCTGTGTCGACCCCCCGCCCACAGCCCCGCCCTCGCTCCGCCCACCGTCGCCGCCAACCACGCTTTCGACGCCGACTTGTCCGACGCGGAGAACGACGAGCTCAAGGTCCAGTCGTAAGGTGTGCCCTCCGACCACATTCGTCCCGTAACAACGAGATAATGTTACGGCAACATTGCTCGAGGTGGCTGCGGGCTGATTATTGAGGTTCATAGAAAAAGCTGTAGACAAGAAAGAAGAAGGGGAAAATGGAGCGATCCTATTGGTAGAAAAGAGTGGTTGCGAGCGATTACCCGCGTGGGATCCTATGCTGCCGTGGTAAGGTAAACAGCTTATGAATATTAGAGAGTTGCCAAGTTTCTTCCGATAAAGTGTTTATTTTTAGGGAGAGGTATGAATATTTTCTCTTGAAATTTTCAGATAATTTATATCTGATTGTTGTTAATATTCTCTGAAAAATGGGAGCAAAAACATTCACAGATTTTCCTGAAAATTCGTAATGAATCAATGGAAATTTGGCAAAATCTGAAGACTCATACCTCTTTAGCGCGGCAGTATGTTTAGTCCATCATTTTCCCTATTATTATTTATCTATAACTACCACTCGTTTCAACAGAGGACAAGGCGGTCAAATTGTGCGATGAAATGTGGATATTTTCCGTGGGTTTAAATGGGGGTGGGATGTGCAAATTTTTCAGCACTATCTGGCAGCAATGCGAGGCATCGCTCTGTTTTCCTTAAATTGCCTTTTTAGTCCATCGCTTTGTACCAAAGGCGAGGCGTGAATGATCGGGTATCGTCCCCATTTGAAACTATGGTAAAGAATCGATTAAGGGGTTCGTTGCGAACACCCTCTTTATCGATCCTTTTCCATAGGTTTAGATGGCGGATAGATCGGTAAATCGCAAAGCACACTACGCCATTCCTCCGTACAGGCAGAGGAAAACTAAATCGATTCTAATGCTCGAGCCACTGTTAATTGGACGTATTTCTGTCAAACGGAACTATGTGCTTTATGACGTGAGCCCTGTTTTGCATGTATTCTAATGGGTCTCGGGGCTCATGTCTTAATGCACATAGTTCCGTTTGATAGGAATACGTCCAATTATTGATGATTGCGTGAAAAACGGAGGATTTCTGTGGTATCGATTCACCCATTCATACCGACTCAGAAGAAAAAAATACAGCAAATTAACCTGATGAATTTTGTGGCTGAATATGGATTTAAATCAATTTTTTTTTTATATTGTAGAGAGTCAATATTAGAAAGACACTTCAGCCATGAAGAGCGCATTTAAATGTTTAATCTAATCGCGACGTGCAACGTACATAAACTAGTCAACAATTTTTATGAATTGTCCAACTAGTCTACTCTAGTCTAGTCTAGTCTACTACTAGTCATATTCACAGCAATTTAGACTTGATGCTTATTTACCAGTGTATATAACGTTTGTTTTTTAATTAATTTATTTTATATTTAATTTTTTAGAAGACTTATTTATTTATAACAGTTGAAGAGAAATCGAGTTAAGCACCGGCAATAAGGCCAAAACGGCACACTCTTCTATAACGAAGTGGATGAACATCAAAGTATTTCAATGTGACAAAAAGAAAAAGAAATGAAAAGACCCCTAAACGACACCCCCCCCCCCCCCCCCGTACTCCCTCAAGAACTACAGACGCCCACAAACATCGTGGATTCCTGGTGGCGAAAATTCTAGAGCCACTTATCTCCGATTGCGACGTACCGCCATTAGTTTTGACAAGAAAACCGGTACCTAAAAAATGCTAAAAAGGACGAATCTGAGAGATTTTTGAGTCGCTTGTGTTACTTTCTTTCCTAAAAAAAAAAGAAAAAATTAATAAATAAAATAATAAAGTATGCACGGACAATTTGAAATGGTGTAATAGGAACCCAAGAAACATTTGGCAACAAATGTAATGAAATCAAGTTGTAATTCGTTTTACCGTGAAATTGAAACGTTAGGTATTGAATTTTTCAATTAATATGCCGATTCAAACCGATCAAACGACGGACAGGCTGTTTGAAATTTAAATAAAAATTCCATCTTATTTATATTGTATTGCAATAAGCGCTGAGAAAAGCCCTTTCAATTAGGAGATAGGCAATCTGCTCAACACTCCAATGCGGCAGCAATTATTTTACCATGCTATCGAAATATTTGTATTGCAACCTGTATTATTTATTTTATGTGCTCATCTACCGGAGGGCGCATGGATTCAATCGACATGAATCGATCGAAAAACAAGAACGTGAACCAATCGACACCGATTCGATCGACAGTTAACTTAACAGAACCCATGCCGAGTCGATCGAAAAATGAAAACGTGAATAGATCGACGTGAATCAATCGACATCCATTCCATCGACAAAATTCGATCGATTCGCGGGTTTGTCGATCAAAGTACGGTTTCGTCGATCGAGTCATCGAGACATAAATTCGATCGAAAGAATTCGATAAATTCACGGGTTTGTCGATTGAAGTACGGATTCGTCGATCGAGTCAAGGGGTTTGTCGATCGATACAGGGGTTTTTTAAATTATTACTGTTGATCGAATCGGTGTCGATTGGTTCACGTTCCTGTTTTTTGATCGATCATGTCGATCGAATCCATACCCTCCCATCTACAGAGTGGTTCATATCTAAAGATGTGCCTAATCAGGCCTCGCTGCAATACATTTCAGAGATAATAATAAATCCATTTAGACCTCCACCATCAATCTCTCCTACCTCGCTTAAAATTTTCTTCTTTCATTTTCATTGTCACCTGAGAAACTTAATTTATAGAATTTTTGTAAATAACAATTAAAATAAATTTTAAGTGGTTACCTATGATAAGTTGTTATTATTATCTGTAGACTAGAGTTAGGTACAAGAACCCTTGCGGTGCGAGAAAGATGAGGTATAGAGGTATTTGAACATAAGGAGTTTATAATTCTGAAACTTCAGGTGCAAAGGGAGATGAAAAAATCCACACACGGACCGTCTGGATGAAATTCCAAGTTTAAGAGGCCGAAAAATAGGGATTTTGAGAAGAAAACTGTTGATGTTGAAGTTCATCAGCCCTGTTTTCAATTTTAAAGATGAATAACATCAAACGCTCATGTTGTCGTCAATAGTGCAAATTATGACTTGAAATTTTGACTAAATGTTTGCTTAACGTTGATAACTAAATGTTGTTTACCAAGTTTAAAAGAATGCACAGCAAGTGCTGTTGAGTTGGAAAAAGATATAGCTTGGATTACCATGGACTACTGTAAAACTGGACCTCACAGAGAGCCGATCGTAAGAAAATCAGGGCTAAGAGGTGCTCTTGCAAGGTGAACATTTTTGAGAAAATGTTGCAAAATTTGATCATCAAAGACCGTTGATTGTTCAATGAAGCACCTTGCAAACTAACATTTTTGTATTTCTGTGTAAGTTAATCACCAAATGAGGCAGTTCGGCTGGTGAGGGATTGGCTTAAAAGCTATTGCACTATATGTAAAATTTCACCAGAAAAACGATGAGCACAATAAAAAGTTTTGAAAAAAATTGCTAAGGGGAGAAAATGCGATTTTAAAATCGTGCCCCTCAAAAACGTTATTTGAATCCGGGCCGTGGCGCGAACGCCGATTTGTGACGTCACACTTTAGGTGACCACCCTTGGTTTATTCCGAGTTAGTCCGAACAATATGGCTGCTGGCTGCTGCCCGGTTTGTTTATTTAGCGAAAGTTTCTAGCTGTATATTGGGATTTAGTGGTAAAATTTGACGAGAAATTTGTTGAAACATTTGGTTTCGTCACAAATTAACTCTTTCTTGATGAAACAAGGCGTTAAAGTTCGCGAAATTTATTCACCGGGCGACCGCGAGTGAGCATCGGCTATCGGAAACGACGGGCTCGTAAACAACCGAAGATTGATAACAGGAAGGATCCAAACAACTCGGAATCTTTTAATTTTCTTTACCTTTAAACCATTTCTGACTTCCACAAAGCATCTGACAATCAGTTTTATCGTATTTTACAACCTGGAGCTAGAGTCTATCGGCTCATTGTGATGTGAATTCAGAGCATTCTGAAACAGAAAGTCAGTTCTCATAAGTTCACACCCAGACATTCTTTTCTTGGATCATTCGCTTTTCATTTTCGCCTCAAATCAAGTGTTTTGTAGTTTCCTTATCTGAAGTATGCGGTTTTGAATTCATACAAGAGTTTGAAGTTCACCTTTTTTTAGCATTAAAGCCTGTTGAGCCCTCAAACTTTACCGATATGATTACCTACAGTTCAAGGTTCCTCTGGTCCGTACCAAGTGATTACACATCAAAGATGTGTCTTATGGTTCTTCAAATTAACAGTTCAGAAGTAAATTAGAGACTACAATAACTTAATCCACTCCTGTCCTTTCCTTCAGTGTTTGTTCGTGTCTGTTCTTTATGCGTTACCACTCTAGTGCATACACCGGTAATGTAGGTTAGTTAGGTATTATCGCATATTTTCTACTAGCAGTACCTTCTCTTAAGCGTTGTAATTTAGCAAAGAAATTCCACCAGTTGCAGAAAATTGTGTGCGTAATGAATAAGTGAATATGAATACCTCCTTTTGGTGACTCAAAGTTTCTCAGATCCGTCTTAAGGAAGTTTTGCATATAGGTGCATGATCAGTTTTGCCAGTTGAAATTACTGCTCTTGCAGTTTCAAATTTATACTTTGATCTCTGATTCACTAATAAATGACACTTTATGGTGTCATTTATATTTAATCAGTTCAAAGCTAATTCGACAATGAATCATCAAAGGTCCGATGGAGGAAGGAATTTTCCGGTGAGTGCCACGGCTGAATCAACATTCCAACTAGACTTGCGAAGGTACCAACCCAAACAGATTCATGAGGAAGTGATACCTATATGGTAAGTGGTAATTCTATTAAGGCTCTTTCATTTCTTAGGTGCGGTGTGCATTAAAAATTTCTAAATCTGCTAATCTGCAGTCATATACTTGAAGAGGAGTACAGCATGAAAAATAGGCTACTATTCTTGGTATTTCTGATTGAGAGTCAACTTGTTCACTTGATGCATTCACTTTCCTTTCAAAGAATGAAATATTAGAGGTGACTCTCAAACACTGCAACCGAGAAAGGGCCTTTTTGCATCCAGTGACTCAATTACGTATTGACTATGGTGTTCAAAACTTCTACTTTAAGTTTAGATTTTAAAAAAATGGAAAACAAGTCGACTTACTGCTCTACATATTCACAAAATATTCTGCACGTAGAAGATATAAATATCGCACACATTTCAGAAATTTTGTCGAATAATTTTTCCATTGGGACATCAAGAGAAGCAATCAGACTAAAACTTAGTGAATGTAGGTAAGTACTTTCTCAGATTAGCCATGCCACTACTATTCCTCGCTTTTTCATTAATCATTATCCACAAAGTTAAACATACTTAATCTAAATGTTACACTAAACTCGTGTATTTAACCTGATAGTACCTCAGTAATTATAATTATCTTACCTGTTAAACTGTATGATGCAATGAAAAAAATTTCACTTCGAGACAGATGATCATTTCCTGGTTGATACCTTCGCAAGTCTAGTTGGAATGTTGATTCAGCCGTGGCACTCACCGGAAAATTCCTTCCTCCATCGGACCTTTGATGATTCATTGTCGAATTAGCTTTGAACTGATTAAATATAAATGACACCATAAAGTGTCATTTATTAGTGAATCAGAGATCAAAGTATAAATTTGAAACTGCAAGAGCAGTAATTTCAACTGGCAAAACTGATCATGCACCTATATGCAAAACTTCCTTAAGACGGATCTGAGAAACTTTGAGTCACCAAAAGGAGGTATTCATATTCACTTATTCATTACGCACACAATTTTCTGCAACTGGTGGAATTTCTTTGCTAAATTACAACGCTTAAGAGAAGGTACTGCTAGTAGAAAATATGCGATAATACCTAACTAACCTACATTACCGGTGTATGCACTAGAGTGGTAACGCATAAAGAACAGACACGAACAAACACTGAAGGAAAGGACAGGAGTGGATTAAGTTATTGTAGTCTCTAATTTACTTCTGAACTGTTAATTTGAAGAACCATAAGACACATCTTTGATGTGTAATCACTTGGTACGGACCAGAGGAACCTTGAACTGTAGGTAATCATATCGGTAAAGTTTGAGGGCTCAACAGGCTTTAATGCTAAAAAAAGGTGAACTTCAAACTCTTGTATGAATTCAAAACCGCATACTTCAGATAAGGAAACTACAAAACACTTGATTTGAGGCGAAAATGAAAAGCGAATGATCCAAGAAAAGAATGTCTGGGTGTGAACTTATGAGAACTGACTTTCTGTTTCAGAATGCTCTGAATTCACATCACAATGAGCCGATAGACTCTAGCTCCAGGTTGTAAAATACGATAAAACTGATTGTCAGATGCTTTGTGGAAGTCAGAAATGGTTTAAAGGTAAAGAAAATTAAAAGATTCCGAGTTGTTTGGATCCTTCCTGTTATCAATCTTCGGTTGTTTACGAGCCCGTCGTTTCCGATAGCCGATGCTCACTCGCGGTCGCCCGGTGAATAAATTTCGCGAACTTTAACGCCTTGTTTCATCAAGAAAGAGTTAATTTGTGACGAAACCAAATGTTTCAACAAATTTCTCGTCAAATTTTACCACTAAATCCCAATATACAGCTAGAAACTTTCGCTAAATAAACAAACCGGGCAGCAGCCATATTGTTTGGACTAACTCGGAATAAACCAAGGGTGGTCACCACCTAAAGTGTGACGTCAGCTCTCAGCCCGCGCGATTCAAACAGCGTTTCAGAGACCTTCAATTTTTGGCGTTTTTGAAGTAAGATTTCTCAGAGCCAGAGGGCTCAAAAAAATCTGAAAAAAATTCTGTATACTCATTTCACCAAGGACTTTCATAATATGTAATAAAAAAATTCAGCCGAACTGGCTCATTATCAGATTTTTGAAAAGAAAGGCTTGCAAAAATGCAGAGCAATTGATTTTTGATTCCTATTTCCTCGCAACCGGCAAATAGATTTATGTTTTGCACCCTGTCCAATGGTGTGCAAGACAGTGGGAAAAAACTCAGGAAGAAATACAGAACAGCGAAATGATAGATTTATGTTTTGCACCCTGTCCAATGGTGTGCAAGACAGTGGGAAAAAACTCAAGAAGAAATACAGAACAGCGAAATGATAAACAATAAATCAGTGAGCAAAATACTTGTTTATTTCAAAAAAGTCGTACAAAAGTTTGGTACCTATAAATAGAATTTCAAAATGAGTGGTCATCACAAAATGATAGGAAAATGTTCAGTTACCTAGATCATGTCATTTAAAAACTAAAAGCAGCTGCCTAAACTCGGAGAAGTTAATGCTAGGATACGTATTTTTGACACGACTGACATACTACTCAATCATAATTCCGCGTCTTGCTTGCGTAGCGTCGGAGCCATCCCGGTACTAATTTAAAACAAAAGGTCCTTAAGGGGAATAGTAAAAAGAAGGGACTAAAATGTTTTCGACGACAAGACAAAGAAACGAGAGAAACTAACAAGTTAAAAGCTAAAACTGCCCTTGGCCAACACACAAGGTCACCCAGACTTAACTTAGCTAACCTAATTCTACTAAAATTTTAGAGACGGAGGGAGAAAGGGGATAGTAACTAGCCACTCTCGAAATGAGGGAATGTAACTTCATTTTGTAGCGGCAAAATTTACAATTCAAATTTTTACTCAAAAAATATAGTGCAGTTTTTATTACCAATTCCACTGATTATTCTCTTGACTTCTAGCTAAAATCGAAGAAATTTAAGATGAAATTTCGCAGTTAATTTCCGGTAAAAAAGTGAATTGTTTCATAAATTTTTGCAACTTCATAGTGGAGTTACCTTCTTCCATCTAGAAAATGACAAGACACGTAATAAAAAAGGAACGGCAGAAGCAATATAACTATTCTTACCCGGATAGGCATAACGAATAGGTAGTGTTTGGTACACCCAATCCTATCCTGTTGTTTATGACTTTGGAAATAAATATTACAGCCAAATTAAAATTTGATGAACGTTTGCCCAGGTACCTCCCTTCAAATGACTCAAATATTTATTTCTTATGAATCACTTAGAATAATTGTGTTGAACTGAGATATTTTTTTTTAAATTCATTTATTACATATAATTTTTACTATATAACTGAGATCAGGCCGAGCTTGAAGTTAAAAACAAGACTTTAAACCTTCTATACTTGCTCCTAGATGGTACAAAGTACAACAGAACGCGTAATAGAATCTTCCTCTGAAGAAAAATATTTCCGTTTTAAGCAATTTTGAAAAAAAATTTCTACGCAGATTAGCAAGGAGGAGATACTAGTGAATGTTCCGACACATTAAGTGGAATAAATGTACTCTCTTATACTTTTAAAAGGTTACGAAAATATTCAGTTCAACCGATTTTCATCATAAACGCGGAAAAAGCATACTTTTTTGAACTTTCTTAAAGCGTCAATTGCAGCACTGACTTTGATGTTTTGCTAGAAGTTACTTTCTACCTTGCATAATATAGAATTCATTTAAGGAGAATCATTTGACAAGGTGTAACTCTTCGTTTAAGGCTGGAGAAAATGAGAAAATATTAAAAGGGGTCATGAGCTGGAGACAAGGCAGGGAAAAAGGTGCTTCGATTATTTAACTTAACAGGATGCTACACTTAAAAAGAGGTCTCGTTCACACCCGGTAACTTGAAGGACATAAAAAGAAGCTAAAAAAGTTGTGGCAAAGCCAGGCTTTCACACAAGTCTCGAATGATATAACAAAGACTCGAATACGTTTCTCCTCTTTGCTCAGATGACTTAAAAGATGGAAAAAAATGTATTACTAGAAATATTGATGCTGAGCTACTTTACACAGAAGAAAAATAACTAATCACCTATGAGAAATACATGACGCTGATGCGAAGTGGTATTACTCTGACTGAATCTTCCTGAGTTGTTCCTGACTGACACTACGCCTGCTGATCATACCTGCTTGCCTTCCTGAAGGCAACCTGCTATCCTGTTCTTAGATGTCTCTTCTCTCTCTCCAACCATCTAAGCCTGACTGCCTAATTTCTGCCTATGCCCTCATCACTGAAGAGAGAGTACCTGCAGTAACATAAGTCAATAAAAATATTAATATACAGGTTGCTTCTCCTGCAATATGTACACTTTCAACATCTAAGCTCCAGAAAACTAACACTATTGTCCATTTGCAGCTTTCCGTAAAGCAGAAACAAAATACGAAAGCTCCATGTGTTCAATTTCATTAACTATCCGTAAAACCTAAGAGGTGAGCAGCGTAATTTGCAACCATCTAGAATGTTTCTCTCAATATTGAGAACTCGTCCCTTCAACATGCCAAAATCGGAAATAAACTAGGTTCTTGTTAGCAGAGAGTCTTCTACTAAATAAACAGTAAGCTGTACGTCACAGACAATTCTAAAGATTGAAGTAAAATAATTGGAGAAAATTAACAAAACAACAGGAAATACTTCACACAGACCTAAGTTTCAACGAACTATGAAATTTACCACAGTATGGAAAAAGACAACAATCTCAATCGAATCCTGTAAAGAAACCTTCCAAAAAATTGCCACATTTAGGAAAAAACAATCTAAATAAAGATAATAAATATCATAAAAAATATTCAACACATGAGGCCTGTTATTCACTTTGTTGAGATTTCATCTAAATTTTAGGATTTCCTGTCCGTATTCTTGACACTCTTATTTTATCAAAATATTCACGGAATTCTGAGAAATATTACTACATGGAAGAAAGTTTTTCAAAGATAATTGATATAGAGAAGAGATTGCGAATTGCATGTGCAGAAAACTTAGAACTTGCGCACCGAATGCGCTGCCTTTCAGTAAAAAACCCTGCAATCAAAATCTCTAAGGCTCAAAATCTTTCTACTTCATTCCTTATTTTTTCTCATGTACATAAGTTATCTCACAGACTTGAAAATCAAAAGGAACTTAAAGATACTCATGGCAACACGAATTCTAGCCATTCGTTGTGAGTTTGAGTATAATACCTTGATTTCTGAACTTACATCTCATCAGTCTCTTAACTCGTAATTATTGGCCACTAATTGAAAGGCAATCAACAATGTATCACAAGCTGTAATCTGGAATACTTTTTTTTTTTCTTTTCTTTTTAGCCCAAAGGAATGAAAGAGGATGAATTTGTCTCATCTCTCGGGCCAACAAGCTCCCATCTATAAGAAACTGAATGTTGCAACATTTCTACTAAATAGGCGTGTACAAGTGCCAAAACATTCACTTTTCAGCCCTACTTTTCTCAAATCGATGAAAGATACGTTTTTTTGAAGGAGGTCATAAAAAGCACTATTCCAGGAATTGACGTAATTTAGCGGAAGCCGAATCTATTCGGATATTGTGCAGCAATTTCTTCAGATGCAAGTGCCATTCTATTCAAAAACTGAAAACAAATTTTTACTTGGAAACTCCAATTGATTGAACCTCCTTGATTTCATTACTGATGTTCTTTGTCCTCTAAAGAGTGACCTGTGTTACAAATAGGAGCCCAAATCTTCTTGGTTGACGGTGGGCCACAAGTAGGGGAACCTAACCTCTGAATTCCACTTTAAGGAGGGAAAATTGAATATTCAACTCAAACGCATAATTTGCTGTTTGAAACCTCCGACCCGTTACAGAAAGCAAATAAAGATGACTTAACAATGTGTCAGTTGCACTGGTTACAGAATCGTGCCTTGATGCTTCATTATTGTGGATCAGCAAAAAATAACAACATTTGCCCCAACAGCAACTTTCTACATTCAATATTAACCGAGATGCAGCGCTTTGAAAAACTCGATTTATGACGTCATCCATCGCAGTAGTACATATCATGTTACGCACAACCTTGGTTGATGGCGTCCTAAATCAAGTTTTTTAATGCGTGGTATCTCCGTTAATATTGAACACAAGTTGCTGTTTGGACAGATCTTGCTATTTTTTTCTTCTCTACAATATTTAAGTATCGAGGCACAATTCTGTGACCAGCGCAACTACCCCTTTTTTCCCTGACTACTTCAAACTCCCTGACATTTCCCGATATTCCCTGATTGTGGCAACCTTGTTTCCGGTTTATACTGATGGCAGACACTCCGATAGGGACTTATGACTCTCCTTTGATCAGCGACCACAAAACCTAGTCGCCGCTCTTGAAGCAACTTCCAGCCGTACTTAGATAGACTGAGCAACAAAATTCGGACCCAGGCTACCTAGAGTACCTTCATAGACAGAGTATGGCCATTTCTGTGCCGGTTTATCATTGGTCACGAGAAATTAGGCTGGCACGATGTTCCTACAGCCGTGAATAAACAATCAAGATGGCTGTTATCAGCAAGCAAGTTTGAGGTTATGCACATCTTACATCCTACTGTGATGAAGGCGAAATGGCAATTTAACTGTGTTCCCATGTGTCATTCGTAGATATGCTAGTTTAAATTGCTATTGCTGTATAATTGAAAGTTTTGTCAAATTTTAGCTTCTTATCAATATGACGGTGAGTCCCCATCTTGTTTGTTTATTTACGGAAGAGCATCATGAAGTCTAAAAACTGGTTGACCAATCAAAAAGCGGCACAGCTTTCCTGAAGTAAAGAGCAAGGTAGATTAACACAGGTATGGACATGTTGAAAATCCGGCCTGTGATTGGCTCTCTAGTGGCCCCTTAACTACCGCCATTTTTATGCTTTCATTATTGTGATAGGTTGGTGATTTATTGGTTATGTTTCTCCATTTTGGTAATAAATCGTTATTTAAGTTTTGGAGATAATTTAATTGTTCCCGAGGATCTTATTACCTACCATTGTTAATGCGTGATAGTGTTTTGATGTTTAAATGGAGCAATTATTCAATAAAGTTGAGAATAGCGCGGTCAAACTGGCCCTTTAACCTACGTCACGAAGTCATGTGACACGTACTGAGGCTCATGGGAAATTTCCAACTTGTCCATACCTGTGTTAATCTACCTTGAGTAAAAAGATACGAATGGCCATACTCTATCTATAAAGGTACTCTAAGGCTACCGACAGAATAAATGCCAACTCACCTGAGATATCAATAGAGAGGTCATTGTTGCGAAGGAGAGCGGAGGATTAGTATCGGCTGCCGCCGAAACCGCCTCCACCGCCGTAGCCACCGCCTCCACCGCCGTAGCCACCGCCGCCGCCACCGTAGCCTCCGCCGCCACTTCCGTAACCTCCGCCGCTGCCGCCTCCGTAGCCGCCGCCACCACCGCCGTAGCCGCCGCCTCCGCTACCGCCGCCGAAGCCGCCACCGCCGCCTCCACCACCTATTCACAAAATAATACTCGCTTTAATTAATGATGCTCCATTAAAGAAACAAAACGAGAAATGGGTTCTTTGGAGGCATCAGGTCAACTAATGGGTACCCGATGATTACTGTTGAGAGTTTGACGATCGTTCTTGAAGACTTGCTGACTTCTCGCTAATTGCCCGATGACTGTCATGGCGGGTCATCGGCCAATGCAATCGCCCAGCACCTTTCGAAGGTGCTAGGCAACGCCGCTGAGTGTTGAGATAACCTCAATGTCTCAAGTATAGCCCTGCATAGACGATCAAATTCCGAACCAATTCTGATCAAAGTAGACATGCTGATGACTGGTGGTCACCATCTACCATCAAATTTTGACGGGCCGCACTTTTTTGTTCAAAGTAAGATCAGAACGGAGTGCCACCATTCATCATTTCCTGCCACAGGAAACATTTCTGCCAAGTTTTCATTTTAAAATGAAGCAAATCAATGAGTTTAAGTCTGATGACTCCCGGCACTTTGATGCTACTTTGATCGGAATTGGTTCGGGAATTTGATCCTCTATCCAGGCCTTTCCACGCATTCCCACCATTACTTTCTCCTGAAGTAAACAAAAAGAAAACCTAGAAAACCAATAAATCTGAAAATAACACGATGACAACAGATTTGAGCCGCCGTGACAGTCACATGACGAAAGTTGGTCATCGGGCAATTCATGAAAAATCAACAACGTTTTTTCACTGATGCCTCCAGAGAACGCATCTAAAACAAAAGAAAACGGTGAACCAAGGCTAAAAACAGACCAACAGAATGCCTGGGACGTTTCGCAGTGGTTTCAACCGCCTCATCAACCTGGAAAAAATTAGAGAAATATAAAAATCAGAAAACTCCACAGAACCCCATTCATGTGACAAGAGAAGATATCCCTGGATTATGGTACGCATTCTGATTGTTTATAGCTTTGTTTTCCCATTTTCGTGTGTTCAGTTTCATTAAATTATTTGGGCTGTTTTTTGTATCGTTCTTACTGATTAAAAAAGTAACATCCGCCATACTGCTATGCTAGGGAAGAAGACCGTACATGCATTCGAAAGTTGCCAAATTTCCCTGGATATAACATGCATTTTTGAGGAAAATTATGCATATTTTTCTTTGAAAATTTAAGATATATGAGATAAAACTAACACAACAATAGGAGTGTCTGAAAAATTTGGAGAAAAATATTCACAACGTTCTAGGTAATCATCTTTTGTAGAGGAGAAATATGGCAGCTTCTGAAGGCTCATACAGTGTTCTTCCATAGTAAGGCAGAATACCTGTTGGAAGCAAAACTCAAAATTGTTCCTTATACAAGTCCGGGGTGTCTAAGAAAATTTCATTACGGATTTTCCTGATATTTTAGATGAAATTTAGTTTCATTTTTTCAACAGGCAAAGCCTAATAAAAGAATTTACAAGAAATCTCCAGTCAACAAGGAATGCTGCACAATATGCAACACAACACGATGAATTTCCTAATTTTTTGTGCGAATAAACTGATTCTCTTTGATTCTACAAACCAACAGATTCAATAAATTGAATCAAATGTTTTTCTTTTGCACATGCTAAACTGCATGTAGTTGAAAAATACTTAATGCTCTCTGTATTTCCTGATCCATTACCGATTATCTGGATGACATCAAATTTTCTAGCATTTTCTGGTTCTTGTTCGAATAAATTAGTAACAGGGTGTCTACTTAAACAGGCTGGCCAAAAATCAGTACTTTTACAGTGCTTCTTCAGTACAATCCCAAGAAATTCAGTGCTTCCTCAACAGAAAAATTCAGAACTTTTTCAGGACCTCCATTCAACAAAATTCGATAAAATTCAAAAATCTCGCTCAAATTGCGACAAAAATGACGAAGCACTGGAAAAAAAAAAAAAAAACACATTGGATCTTAAGTCCAGAATCTTGAAAACATTGACAAGAAAAAATACTCTTGATTCAATCAGATTTTTGCTTAAATCAAAAGGAAATCCGCTCAAATTGAGAGGCTTGGTTCTTGATTTAAGCAAAAATCCGATTGAATCAAGAGAATTTTTCTTGTTGATGTTTTTAAGAGTCTGGACTCTAGATCTAATGTGTTTTTTTTTCCCAGTGAGAAATGAAAAAAATTCCCGACCTTCTTGCGAATTTCCGCACTTTTTCAGTACTTCCAGACCGCCCTTTAAAAAATCAGTACTTTTCCCCGACTTTCTGGAAATTCCAGACTTGTAGACACCCTGAATAAATAAATCGTCACCTTCCAGGCAAAGTATCACAAGCGCCATGCCACATTTAAAAATTTCCGCCGCCATTTTATTTTTTTACTGAGAAATTGTTGGTTGAATCTGTTCGAAAATTTCACTAAATTTTATCAGCAGCACAAAGAAAATTCAGTGAAATTTTCGGACAGCTTCGTTGAACAATTTCTCTGTAAAAAAATAAAATGGCGGCGAAAATTTTTAAACGTCGCGTGGCGCTTGTGATACTTTGCCTGGAAGGTGACGAAATAAAGCATGAATAGAAGAGATGCGAGATGTACTGACGTGCATAAGGCGCGGATCTGGCCGGAGCGCCACCGCCACCCCTCATGGGGCCTCCGCCGTAGCTCTGCTGGTAGCCGCCGCCGAAGTTATCGCCTCCCCAGGGCCCGCCGCCGCCTCCGCCGCCGCCCTGGTTGTAGCTCTGGTTCTCCCACGGGCCGGAGCTTCCGCCTCCCCAGGAGTTGCCGCCTCCGTAGCCGCCGCCGCCGCCGCCTCCGTAGCCGCCGCTGCCGCCGCCGTAGTCGCCTCGGCCGCCTCCGCCGCCGCCCCACGAGTCACCGCCGTCGCGGCCCCCGAAACCGCCGCCGCCTCCGCCACCGCCGCGGCTTCCCAGCTTCTGCATCTCGATCCGGCTCAGGGCTTTCTTTACGTCGATCCGCAGGCCTTTCATGTTGTGCGAGCCTTTCACTGAAAAAAAACAACGGGAAATCGTATATCCGGCAAGGATAAAGTTATTTGAAGTGGGTCCAGCGGGTCGATTATTGAAATTGATAGACAAACCTATAGACAATGAAGACAAAAGGGATTTGGAGGGATCCTATTGGTGGAAGCGAATGGTTGCAATGGACAAAGGACGTGGGTGATAAACTAACTAACGGCAACCCACGAGAGACCCGATAGTTAGTCCATCATTTTTTCCCTTAGTCTATAAGAGCCACCCGTTTCCACCTATAGGATCGCTTCTTACTCTCTATGTCTTCTTTGTCTATCGCTTTGTCTATAAATTTCAATAATCAGTCCGCAGGGCTGCCACAGAATTTAGATAATGAAATTCCCTGACAATGGAGATGTTGCATGTGTGAGGAATTTGCGATTTGACTGTTGATTCTTATGTAAAAGTTCGCGAGAAACACGATGGTCCCACTGGTTGTCTCTGAAATCAACTCCCAAGCTCAAAAAAAGCTCTCAAGTTGAGGCCAAAATGGAGGGGATATCCCACACTATCCTGTGAGTCCACCTCTACATCAAGACAAACTCTCCATGCGAAGATAGGGAGCAAATACATTGACAGGGCTGCCACTTTATTTAGGGACTCTAAAACTGAAAACACGGCAATCCTGCTAATGTATTTGCTCCCTATCTTTGCATGGAGAGTTTGTCTTGATGTAGAGGTGGACTCTCAGGATAGCGTGGGATATCCCCTCCATTTTGGCCTTAACTTGAGAGTTTTTTTTGAGCTTAGGAGTTGATTTCAGAGAAAACCAGAGGCACCATCGCGTTTCTCGCCAACTTTTACATAAAAATCAACAGTCAAATCGCAAATTCCTCACACATGCATCATTTCCATTGAAGATATGAAAGTTGGTTAAGAAGACACAATGGAGGCACTGGATGTGAAAAGGGCACTCCTCGATTATAGTGTTTCAGAATCTCTGTTGCTAATTAATCCCTTGGAGAAGAATTTAATGGGTGATTTTGCCAGAATTCTTTCCATAGACATTTGCAGAATCATAAGGAATATTCAGTGAAATATTTAGTGAAATGGATGCATTTACTTTCCTTACAATGAATGAAATATTAGAGGAGACTCTGAAACACTGCAACCGGGAAGTGCCCTTTCTGCATCTAGTGCCTCAACTGAAAATAGTTTTCAGGCAAAACGTTGGTGTAGTGGTTATAGCGCTACCTCTGTGATCAGGAGGTCCTGGGTTCGATTCCCGGCCAGGCCACCCGAGTTAAATGGTCTCTAACAATGGTTGCCTATGACTGGTTGTAGGGACAGAGGGGGGATGGGACTAAAGCACAGGATTAGCTCTTGTGGGCTATTACAAGTAGTAAAAAAAAATTGTTGTTTGAAACTTCAAACCCGCTCCAGAAAGCAAATCATGGTGACTTAACAAACTTTCCATGACATTTTCGTCATTTTCCTTGACTGTGGCAACCCTGTTCAAGTGGATCCAAGGCTGCCACAGAATTTAGAAAATGAAATTCCCTGACATTTTCCCGATTTCTCTGTCACATTTTGGTAAAGTTCCCTGACGATTGAAGATATGCTAGATGCCCTAAAAGACACAATTTGAAATAGTTTTCAGGCAAAATGTGTTGTTTGAAACGTTAAACCCATTCTTGAAAGAAAATAAAATTGCCTTGACCACTTTTCCATGACATTTTTATCATTTCCCCTGAAATTTCGAGGTTATCCGTGACTTTTTAAATCCCTGACATTTCTCAGTTTTTCCTGACTGTGGCAAACCTGGGGTAACGAGAAATCTACGTCTTCCTCACTCCTCTTCCTAATGATTCGTTTCGCCTCAGATCTCTTGGTTTTCATTCTTTCTTAGGTTTTACCATGGTGTCTAAAATTCTTAGATTTCTCTATTCTCCAATTATTCCTAATTTTCACAGAAACAATTCAATGATTACAACTAAGGATTTCCTGTTTTGCACCCAACACTGAGTAATTTCTTCTCCCAAAATGAAGTCCAATCGAGAGGCACTCATTACCTTCTCAATGGTAAAGGTAGATTAAGCTGATAATGCTTTCAGGACCAAATATTACTTCTTCTACTGTCTACGATTATTGATGTTTCCTACTTTTAAGAAATGTTGCTTGTGTTCGCTACTTGGCTTACAGCATTACGCACATTGCAGCATGAAAACACATGAGCACAAAACGTGAAGCCTCGCCAGTTCAGGTAATCTTAATGAATTGGTTTGATACTCACAACAAATTTTGTCCACAGGGTCATAGTCGTCAAATTCAACAAAAGCAAAGCCTCGCTTCTTTTTTGTTTCTCTTTCCACAACGATTGAAACTGACAAAACATTGCCAAACTGACTGAAGTAGTTGCGCAAGTCTTCTTCCTCAATTTCGTCTTTTATTCCACCAACAAACAATTTTTTCACAGTGGCACCAGCTTCAGGTTTGCCAATTTCCTGCCGTGGAAAAAGCCAAAAGAATTATGAACACAGAAAACTTTCTATGAGAAAAACGAGTAATACCAAAACAGAGGAACAAAACTTACTGACCAAATCGCATGAGAAGAGGGAACCGCCGAGAAAAAAAATGGAGGAACCCTGTCAAATTCATCTAAGTTTTCGTTTAAACATCTCTTTAGCGATGGGAAAAGTCAAATCGAGAGAACCGATAATGGTTAAAAATGGAAAAAGGCTTTTAATCTTTTACGCCCCAAAATGATAACTTCCCATTGAAAAGAAAAAACATTCTTGCAGCAGTGTATATAGCTATAGAACCAGCATCTTTTGGGTGCCTTAAAATAATTTTCTATGATACAGTAAATACAGTTCTTTCTTTTAAAACTTGCCTGAAAAATTAATATTAATGAGTCAGGTTGGCCAAAGAAGGGTTGGTAATAATGATTTTCAGCATAAAAAAATGGTCAACAGGTAAAAAATGGTTCCTTTTGGAAACAATGCTTTCTCTCTTGTTTTTGAAACCCTTAAAGCTACATTAGAAGAAAGTCACTGGTCCATCAGAGAATTTGGCGAAACGCCAGATCTGCCGTGCTAAGGAAAAACGCTGTATGAGCCTTCAGGCGTTGCCAAATTTTCTTTAACAAATCACTAATTTTCAAAATGATATGAGAAAATTTTTCTTTCAATCTCTCTGGTAATTTTGCTCGCAATTTGATCTAAAAAGATTGAAAATTTCAAGGAAAAATATCGACAATTTTCTTCAAAAATAAACATTTAATCGATGTACATTTAGCAACTCTCAGATGTTCATACGGCTTTCTTCCTTAGCACGGCAGAAATAGCGCCAGCACTACGCTATATTCTATCATAGTTTTGAATCTATTGATCGTAAATATTTTGTCCTGAGCCCAGAAAATTGTGCCAAAAAACAGATTCTACACTTCAGATTCATCCGAAGTGTTCTGTATTTGCTTTGGATGAGGGAACATACATTTGAATGATTTGATCCTTCCTCTACACTCTACATGTTGTAAACTAACTTGGAGGAAACAAATTCCCTGACTTTTCCAGGTTTTTCCTGATCAAAATTCCCTGGCTTTTCACAACACCAATTCACATGTGAAGAACTGAAAGTGAACAATTTTACAGCCATAGTTTCACTGCAAATTACAGAAACATGTTGACCTTTTTCCTTCAGGTGTTTATCATTCAGGTAGCTAAAATTGCGATTCCTTTTTGAAAATTATTTCTCTGTTCACTATTCAGAGTGTAACTCAAACCATTGAGCCCTGTACCTTGGCCGTAAGGCTCAGTTTAATGGAGCTGATTTTTTTTGTTTTTAGATTTCAATTTTCAAGATGTCACAAATTTCTTGTCTTCTTCATAGAATTTCAAACCTGTTGACATGACACCCTGGTGGTAATAATCTGATTATTTCCCTACCTTGTGGTCTATTAGACATTTTACAATTGGCAACTACAATTTCTAGCTCATATGTAAAAACACTTGACACAATTCTAGGGAAGGTATATACATTGCTTTTGAACCGAGCCAGAATTTGTAGTTCCAAATGGACCACTTGACAAGGTACGAAGTTAAGTATTCTGATACATGTTTCTAAACCAAAATTTCACATTGAACATGATTCGCACGATGAAGATTACTGACATTAACTCCTAACCAAGATATTTTATACTTCTTGACACAGTAATTCTAACCTCCCGTTCATGAAAACGCAATGGTCTAAGTACGTTAGTCAAAACGCCTACTGAACGTTGCTGTTAAAGTCGCTGCAGATAAAAATATTACAAACTCAATCTTGGCGCTTCATCTTGCTTGTTGCACTTTGTTCACATTATAAACAACTAAGGGTGGAGAAAGAATACCGTTGATGGAACCTGCCCAAACTGTTGTAGTGCGTGATTTGGCTCATGAATTTCCCATCACCGATGTAAAATAAAAACATTAATATCATAGTTAGGTGTTGAATTCAGTCATTTTCGATGCGAGAATCATTTTTTACATGGAATTTTGGCTAAGAATCATGTAGATACATGATTCTGATATCAGAATGCTTCAATTTGTACCTTGTCGAGAGATCTATTTGAAGGTGTGGTCAATTTCAAAGCTAACTGGGTACAACATCTGAGAACTTACCGTTCTGGGGACAGCTCTTTTCGGTTCTACGATTCGACCATCGATTTTGTGAGGGCGAGCATTCTGAGCGTCATCCACCATATGGGCAGAGGAGTAGGTTACAAAACCAAACCCTCGTGACCTGCAACAAAAGAAGACATTAATATGATGCATCTTGACTGGGTATTCCAAGACTAAGCTGAAATACTGAATTTATAGTCTGAGGAATCAAAAATCTCCCTTTTGCATTTTCTTGTTTTGTTGACTAGTGCCTTTTTTAACAGTAAAGCCATGTATCGCCAAACTTCTTTTTTGAAGACAGACACACATTGATGGTGAAACTGAGAAATGTAAATTTCGGTTGATGCCACTGTACAGACTTTCGGTGATACTTAGTTATCAACATAGAAAACTTTTCGACATCGTTTCTTAAAAATTCAGCGATTTCTTCATCTCTTTATAGGGAATATTCTGGAAAAATGTCTAGTCATGAAGTTGGTTTGATCTGCCTTAAAAAATTAAATAGAGGCGGAGATTTTAAAACACTGCAACAGCGATATGCATTATTACAAGTTCACCGCTGATAGTGCCAACATCTCTTCTTTTCAACTACTGAAGAGGAAAGTTGTTGTATGTTGAGACAAAAATCAAGTACTGTTTAAGTATGTCACTACTCATCAGTGCTGCCATCTAACTGCATGAATTAACCTGTTGAGTGGTGGTGATTCAAAGCTAATCAGAGATCAACACTGTTTCCAAATAGGGATGGCGATTTTTTCAATAAAAGGATTTCGAGAAATCAATTTGAATCTCCGTAAAAAATCTATTCAATTTTGTGGGAAAAATCGATGTTTTTCGAAATCAATTTAAAAACACTTAAAAATCTAAGCTTGGTGCCCAAAACATAACCACTGCTAAAACTGAACTTGAAATGAAACTCAGGTTATACAGATCCTAGGTCTTTCACATCAAAGACGGAAATTTTGATATTTTATCAATAGGTAGGTACTTCGGTTCCAGCTCAAAAAATCAATTCCGAAATTAATCAACCTCAAAAAATCGATTCAAATTAATTGATTCTTTGAGATCGATTAAAAACCATCCTTATTCCCAATACTTGCGCTGAACTGAACTGAACTTATCACACCGTAAGATGAATCTCTTCACTGAGCAGTTTGTGAAGGTTGAGCTCAGATACTCTTGTTTGGAACAAAGGCAATCATCATTTTGAATAGTAAATACAAAGATTCGATCTTTTCTGGTGAAACATCCCTGAGAAAAAGCTCTTACGTAGACCAGATACTCAACTGTAATTCAAAAAGAAAAGCATACCTTTTGGTTTTCGGGTCTTTCATGACGACAACATCGACGATTTCTCCCCATTGTTCATAGAATTCTTTCAGTGTTTGGTCTTCAGTCTTGAAATCAAGTCCGCCAATGAAAAGTTTACGGAGATGCTCTGGTTCCTTCTGGAAATAGAATTTGAATTAGTACTGGTGGAGATACCGCTTTAAGTCATGAGATTGAAAGCAAATGGAGTGAAAAATTAAGCCTGAAGCGATCTTGGAGGCTGGCAATTGCCATCAATCACCGAAGTGCTTTCTGAAACTAACCAATAAGGGCTGGCATCACAACTAGAATGGCAACCGCCAGTTGCGTCGCCGCATTTGCTACCGCCAATCAGTAATCAGAACTGAGCGGAAAATACTGCGCAGCGACCGAAAGATGTAAAACCTGACTTCCCAGTCAACAAAATTGGCAAAAAATAATTAGCTGAGTCAACTATGTTTCTGAATGGCGACTTATAGGGTACCAATGGTGGATTTGTGGATCTTTCACAGTGCGCCCCATTCGCACTCATGGAATACCACCTGTAAACATTCAGCACAAAGGTTGAGGAAGGTGCAAAATGGCTTAATTGAGCTCCTCATGTGGTTGAAGCACAGACTTGGACTAAGAGAAGAAGAATTTAACTAAGCTAAAGATGGATACATGCAGAATTTCTCGGAGATGGACAAAGCCGGTGGCGAGGTCGTTGGCCTAAATTGAATTTTCAACTTGAGAAAAACAAAAGAATTACCATGATTGAAGCGTTGAAAGTTTATCTCGGTTATAACTGACGTCTACAGCTCTGTCAAACGATGAATATGTTCGGTTTGGTGCGGTGATAGACGGAGAATGTCGAAATTAAAATGTGTTGCACAAAATTGAAGAAATGCCGGAAACCACGGAAACAATAGCTACGTTTATGCGAGGCTCGAAACCGAGGTTTCACGAAACCCGAGTTTGTAATGCTAGTTTTCGCCGTCGGGTTTATGCGGGCGCTGTAACCCGACTTTCGCGGGAAATCAAACTTTCCGATTCTGGCGCTGTTTATGCGCATATTTTCGATTGAACTTGAATTTCAAACGTTGGCGCCATTTTCACAAGCTATACTTAATTTTTCCACTATGAATTGATTCAATAAATTATTAGGTATTACTCTTTTATCCTGTGTATGTTCAATTTTTCCGCAATATAAAGCGGAGGCTTCATCTTCACTAGAAAAGCCTTTACTGACTTTCTGAGCAACAGTTGGAAAAATGACAGTAGATGTTTAATCATTTTATGTTCATCTTTAAAATTGAATGAATACCTAATCTCAACAACCCTTCAAATCATGCTCGAGCTTATATTCTGAGTTCAGAAAAGTTGCCATGGGTAATTTTAGTGATGTTAAAAATAATTGTGGCAGGCGCAGAAATTCATCATATTGTTTATTGAGCTTCTAATGATCTTACACTAGGTAGATATAGGCATTGAAAGTGTAGGAGTGCTAATCCAGTAAAGCACCGCACCTTCACTCCATGCTGTTGTAAAGATTGTGTGTCTGCCATTATTGTAGTGAAACAAATAAAGAATCGGGATATACTTATGGGAATTCCTCCTTCACGATATGATCAAAATAAGCAGATATTGATAGGTCAACAATGTATCGCTGAAGCAGAAGCGTCTAAATCCTCTTGAGGCAATGGACGGTGACAATCTCAACAAACTGGTGACGCTTCACAAATTCTGAATTTCCACATTCCCAGAGACACGCGCTGAAATCCTGTTTCTCGCACCCCTCTTTCCGACTGCTCTCCGAGTCCATGAGCAAGACAGGAAGAAAATAGGCAAGCTACCTACCACTGTTTGCCTACCTATGTGTGTTTTCCTTAAACTTGATTTTCAAAGGTGACTCATGTACTTAAAGAGCAACTGACAAACAAGATTTCAGAACCTGCCATTGCATTTCACTAATCTAAGACACAAACCCAACCTTACCATTGATATTCTTTCGCTTAGACTGTATATTATTCTCCTACTGAGATTCGATATGAACTCAATTCAAAAATCCTTCTGAATTTAATAATTCAGTTAGATTGGAATCTGGAGCTCTCAGTCTATCTGTAAAGCGCATTTACTAACATTCACTGCTGTCACAAGATATTTTTGCACAGGCAGAGCCACTTTCCACAGTTGATGCATCTCTAACGCCAAGGCTCAATTATGACAAGTGATTCAACGACCAAAAATTGTTACACGCCTCAATAAAAACCTTATTCTTATCTCAAATTGAAAATCTTAGATCACAGAGCACTCACCGAAGAATCTCCTTCCTTCTGCATCAGTATGAGAAGAGTGACGATACTTTGGAGCAATAACTTTGAACTAGTTTCAATAAATGATGGCTTCAGAATTTGAGTCATCATTTACAAGAGATTGGATCAAAGAAATAAGTCAGCAGGTCACGGTTGTGGCTGGAGTCACACTTCCAGTAGGACAACCAGGAAATAGATACACGGATAACACACAAATTCAAGAGCTATGCAGCTCTGACTGGATCAGATTTTAGATTTAATCGGTAGATTGAAATGAAAAAATTCGGTGCACTACTTAAAGGGAAGCATGGTGCCTTATCTTGAAATCTTAGGCAAATCGTTTGGATACAGTAAAAAAGTTCTCCGCAGATGATGAACTGGTAGGTAAGGCTATTACTCAATTGTAGCCTGTAAAGCTCTTTGCTTGCTTTGCTTCTGTAGTCATAAAATGTTGATTAGAGTTGCAAGAATTATCTGGAAAAGCAGTAATAAGCCTGGATTCCATCTGACACTAAACACCTTCACTAGAAAATAACGTCCTACGTTTAGCTAAATAAGGATAAGTAAGCCACATATAACTGAAGGAATCACGTGAAAGTGCTTAAGCAACAATTATAGTAAAATTATGATTGTAAAAAATGTTGAATAATGACAAAATTAACGCTAAATCGTGGGATAAGCACCAGTTGTTTACGAACGTTATGATAATAAATCCGCCATATTGCCGATCGCGCACCTGAAAATCGCATTTGAAGTCGAATTTCAACTAATTTCAACCTCCGGTACGTTTATGCGGAGTGCGAAAACCTAGTCTTTAGTGTAAAATAAGGTTTCAAACACAAATTTCGGAAACCTACATTTCGTTAGTTCCGTATCGTTTATGCCGTGATTTGAACCTTGGTTTCAAACTCAGGTTTCGATTGAAGTTAGGTTAAGGTGTATCTACAGCTGCGTGAAGTAAGAAATTTCTCCGCGCAGGGGGCGCCACCGCTGTGTTTTAGAGTCCGTACAGCACCACGTGAGTCCTTGAGCTTTTATAAAAGTTGAAGGAATTTCTGTTTAAATCGAAAATAAATAAGTTCTAGCTATAACATTCTTCTTCCTATTGACCCTAAAAGCAACGTGAAAAGTCATTTCTGAAGCTCTGCAATTTGATCCCAGAAAAAAGTAGGGTTAAGCATGATGACCTTGATGCAACCAATCGCGCTTGATCGCTCTCAGCAGTTGGCAGATATCTCTCTCCCACCGTGAGCTGTCTCTCTCACACTCATTGGATTCCCATAAGGAAAACGGGGATCAAATTCCAGCCTTTATTGTGCAACTTTGAAAGCTCATCTTTGACTTTACACATTCTTCAGACATGCTGCTAGAACTTATTAGCTTCAGAATTTAGAGTCTTTCTCTTCATATTTAAATAATCGCTGATTTCGGAGTCAGATTTTAGCAGCGCGACGTGGTGGATTTTTTCAGAACTAACGCTGAAGATTAACCTTAAGAGGCTCGCATAAACATAGCTAATCAAATCAACAATGGCGGATGGATGTCCGACAGCGGAACAGGAAAATCAATTATTCCTCTTTTCGAACAGAAGGAATCTTAACCGCAAATTCTGAACCAGACGCTTTGATTGGTCTAGAGCGGTTCATTCCATTTATTCCGAGTTGAACCAAAATAAGCGGGAATTTCAAATAATTCCGGATATCCTGTCTACCAAATCGTTTCCGTTTCCGGTAAACAGTGTTGTCAGTTTTACGAGCATTTGATAAATAAAACTGACAACACTGTTTACCGGAAACGTTTTGATAGACAGGATATCCGGAATTATTTGAAATTCCCGCTTATTTTGGTTCAACTCGGAATAATTGGAATGAATCGCTCTGGACCAATCAAAGCGTCTGGTTCATAATTTGCGGTTAAGATTCCTTTTGTTCGTATAGAGGAATAATTGGAAAAATAGGTTGGAAAATTACACTGGGTCAGGTTCCGTTCCAGGTTCCACTCCGGATTGCCAGATTGTGAACTAGGCGGGAAAATTCCCGCCATCTACATGAGTAGAAGGAAAAGGAAAAGTTCACAAGTACNTCGCTCTGGACCAATCAAAGCGTCTGGTTCATAATTTGCGGTTAAGATTCCTTTTGTTCGTATAGAGGAATAATTGGAAAAATAGGTTGGAAAATTACACTGGGTCAGGTTCCGTTCCAGGTTCCACTCCGGATTGCCAGATTGTGAACTAGGCGGGAATTTTTTTTTAAAAAAAAATAAATATTCGTAAGGGTCGTGGGCGTCTTTTCAAAGGGTCGGCAGAGGAGGGGGGGGCAAATGCCTTAACCCCAGGGCAGGGGGGGGGGGTTAATTTCACGCGAAGAGCAATTTAGATCAATTAATGTAAGGGCATTTTAGGAGATTTAAAGTTTCTCTCCCCCTCAAATCTAAGTCCTTCCTTCACCTAGATTTGGCTGATGATTGGATGTATCTGCTTTTTCGTTGACGAAAAAAGTCCTGATCCTTGAATCTCTTGATTACAGTTTCTTGTCCATTTATAAAATATTACAAAATTTTCCATTTACCATGAAAACAAAATACTGAGAGAAATAATGTTCTCATTGTAACCTGTACATGATCTACCTACTCGCTAATAAATGACTTTTAGACGCCAGAGAGAGACGTTCTTGACGAAGCAGGGAAAGGAAAACAGCAATGGCTATCATCCCTGCTCGATTTTCTCTTGCGGATGATCACCTACCGATAGTTGAACTCCGAAGTCCGCATAGTTGCGCGCTTGATTCCCACTTTTAACGATGCGCTGTAAGAGACAAGTGAAAAGCTAGGAGTTCCCTTCATTTTAGCGTGATACCACATCACATACCTACTCCGGAGCATGGCCGGATTTAGGCCTAATAATAATTATGCAGTCGCGGTCGTGGCTCAGGGCGGTAATTTTTTTTTTTTNTTTTGGGGGGGGGGGGGGTTGCAAAAAATGTGCGATCGAAAGGAACGCAGATAAGGCTCTCCCGCGAAAACCATGCTTCAATCCAGAAGAATCAGGTGCATGATCATAACTAATATAGAACCGCAAAATATCTGATAAAGAACTCAAAAAAATAAATCGTGTCGGGTATGGAATGTACCGACGGCATGACGTCTCCCCACCCCTTCCCCGAGGCGTTTAGCTCGTGAGGGCGGGAAAATCTTGACGGCAATTATTTAAATCCGGCCATGGGCCTAAATTAAAAAATGTATAGCTTCATTGCAAATATTCAAGATCTCAAATTACTTATGCCGCGCCTTTTCCTATATTTCCCTTTAAGGAGACAACCGAAGTAAAAAGTTCTCGAAAATTTAGGTGAATATTTTTGAATGAGTGACAAAAATTTACGAAAAGTTTGAAGGAAAACCGCTGGGAACTTTTCTTTTAAAAAATAAAAACCTGAGCGGAGATTTGTAACGTTGCAATTGCAGCTATGCATTTTCCATAGAATGACTTTGAAAAGTTAAAATGCTAATATCCAGATTTGATTGCACTCAGCTCATTTTCGATTTGACCTTTTCAATTTTTTAAACCTCTCAGAGCACTGCCGTGCTAAGGAAAAACGCCGAATGAACATTTCAGAGTTGCCAAATTCTCCTTGATAAAACATGTATTTTTGACATCATTCATGCATATTGTTCCTTGAAATTTTCAGATATTTTAGATTCAATTGCGTACAAAATTATCTGAAATTTTTGGGAAAAAATATTCACAATTTTCCCAGTAATTTTGGGTTTTGTTAGAGGAAACTTGGCAACGTCTGAGGGCTCATACGGTGTTCTTTTTTTAAGACGGCAGAGCGAAAATGGTGTGGTGCACTGGAAATCTTCTTCCTTGGTTGGACGATACCTGTCTGTTTCCCTGAGCATGTACATTTTATACCCCTTTGAAGAGGTCTCCGTGGGAAAGATATTTTCAGATTTTTCAATTTGTCATGCTGCAGTCAAACTTATGATGGAACCAATGGATTGTCATTGCGATGGACAATTAACTATGACCACTTCTCATTTTTAATGACTTTCTTTTTGTGCAGTGAATATTCGATATAGAAACATGGGAGACAGCGGTGCTTTTTCCTTTATAAGAAAAAAACAAATTGAAATGTCAATTTTGTCAATCATAACAATTAATGATTCCAGAGTTCCGCCAAATTTTTGGATACAAGAAGATAATACTTAGTAAAATGCAGCAGAGAAACAGGTCAATTGTTGACATTCGGTCCAAGTCAGTGGAAAACGATAAGACCAAAGTAAGCCAGAGCTGAGTCATTAGTCCATTCTACTATTATGTCTCCAAAGAGTAGGGCAATTAATGGTTCATAGATCGCTGTGAAAGACGTTAGTGGTTTGTGGATTATGTGGACGTTTTTCTGCCCAACAGAACTACGTGCATTATGACGTGAGCCCTGCTATGCATATATTCTTATGGGTCTCAGGGCTCATGTCTTAATGCGCATAGTTTCGTTGGGCAAAAATACGTCCATTTGACCTTTTAAAACTGAACATTACGACATAATCGCATGCTTCAGCTAACCAAGAGAAACTCTACAGACATAGTTCCACATCAGCTTGGCCTATCCTTGCCCCTCTGACAAAGACAAAATTTTAACATGCCAATACACGGCTCGCCAAACAGTTGGACTCCTCTTGACAGGAGACTTGAGACTGCTTTTGTGAAATGAATATGTCGCAGGCAATTAGTCGAATAAGGCATTTTATCTAACACCTAGTCAGATAGCCAAATTTTGACAGTTTACAAAATTTTGTAAATTCACAGTGAAAAGCTTACGATTTTTCGATATTTTGGGGAAAATAACTCATCAAATTTACAAACTCCCCTTGTTCCTTCCTATCTTCAGATGAGGCTTGTGTATTTGAATGGTACAATTCTAAAAATTTCTCTATTTTATGATATGCTGAAAATTTCAGGATAAATATTCGTTCAGGAGCTAAAAATCGTGTAAAAGATTATTGTATGATACACATTTTTACGAGGAATTCTTACTTACAAGAAAAATGATTTATTCTGCCTAAAATTATGATGAGAATAAAAATTTGAATCTGAGTAAGAGTATTTGACTATTTGCCCAGGCAATTGAGAAAATGCCTGATTTTACTATTTGCCTGCGACAAATACACACTCAACACCTTAATTATTTTCTTTAAATTGTTTATTATTCCAAATACAGATTTGAATAAAAACAGCTGGTTAGTTCAATAAATAGAAACTTTACAGATACATATAAATAAATGCACCACATCTGACTTCGCAAACTTCTCAAGTTTTCGCACAGTCTCGCATTCAAAATCGTCCTTGCCAAAATAAGTATTCCATTTTTACAAATTCGGATTGGTAGAAAATGCGACAAAACAAAAAAAAATGCACCTTCGCGGGCACAGACAAAAATAAACGGACACAAACGGACACAGAATAGGAATAAATTTTCAACAACTGTAACAACCAAGGCTTCAATATTTACAATCATAATTCAAGGTGCTAGGCTAAAAATAAGTTGGAGAGCTGACCTTGAAACCAAAATAAAAACTCTACAAGAGACGATTGGTTAGTAGTCCATATAAAAATGAGAAAGAGAGTGTGGTTGAATTCCTTGCAAAGTAGAAAGCTGAAAATGGACTACACTTTGAGATAAGGAACTGTTATTTCTAGCTCATTTTAGAGAAGACGTATGGGCTGTAGGATTATTCCGTCTCACATGGGTGCTTCCGTTTCTACGGATGAGCCAGAAATAGAAACTTCTTAGTGCAAAATGAAGTCCAAACAATAATGAATCACCTGAGCGTTTTTAGAGATACCCAACATCTAATACATAGGAAAGTCGATGATAAACATTGTTAAACTAAAGCAAATTCTACACGTTAACTCTTTCAAGGCCAAATTTCAAGACATCTATCATCGGCAGGCGCAAAAAATATTTATTCTTGTTTACTCTACCTCTTAAATACATTTTTTCCCTGGAATGTCTTTTACTGAAGCAAACTGGTGTTCTATACGGCTATGCTAAGCGGAAAGAGCGTGTGAATATTCGTACACGGCCTTACTGTTTCTGATGAAATAAACAATTTTCAACAAACTTGTGAAATTTTGGTGTTCCAGTTTTCAATAGCATATTATTCGCAATTCAATTTAAGAAACCTAAAAATTCCGAGGAAAGTTGTCATGACTTTTCAAAATTGAATATTTTATTGAAGGTAATTCAAAGCAGCAACATTTGAATTTCCTGAAAATGTTGAACTTTTTTTTCTTTTTTTAAATTTTCTACAGCTAAAGTCAAAAGAGGCATGACTCCACTGAGATGTTCAAGGAATTCCAGGTGTAATTTGTTTTTTTCAGGAGAATTTTTAGAGCTTCAGAGAGCACTATTCTCAGTTGCTGAAGTGCCGATTAGGACAAGAAACTACTAGCTATAATCCTTGCCGAATCATTTTTCTAACTTCCAAGCACTTTTTTCAGTGAGTTAAAGACTGGAGGGAGACTCTCATGATGAGAAGTTGAAAATTCACCTTAATGAAGTGCTCACTAACCAATCACACTACTGCTACATAAAGCTACGAGATCATAGAAAATATGCCTTTGTGGGTACATCCATCATGTCTGCTTTGATCCTTGTCGAAAGGAAGAATAAAGAACATTCTGCAATCAGTTGCAATAACTACGCAACTCATCATCTGCACTGAGAAAAACTGAAAAAGCACTTGCTTGAAAATTTTAGTTAAAATAGGCAACTCTAATTTTAATACTTTGAGCTGACATGTCGATACTGAAAGTAGAGAGACACTAATTTCTGTTTAAAATGTTGATGAAATGATAAATTTTTTAGAGGATGCCTGGTCTGTACTGCTCCTTAAAATTCATGATGAATTCTCTTTGCCCTTTCCAAAAAGATTCAATTAAAAACAGAGGCGATAAAGTCAGCTTTGTCTCCTTTAAAAAACCAAAAAGGGCATAGAAATTTTGAAGCCCTACAATTAAGAAACAGATTTCTCTATTTCTGTCATCAATATTTTTGGCTTAAATCGAAATATACGTACGTCAGATTGCGATGTTTTATTTTCTTAAAAGAAAAGTAACCATGAGTTTCTACCGAAATTTTCTATACATTTTCTTCAATTACTGTGAGAAAATTACATAAACCTACATGGAAACGTCTTGATTAGTTCTCCTTACAGAAAAGAAAATATAATTGCTGTAATTAAGATAACGACGGTGAAAGTCGGCAATCACATAACTCGTTTGCGGTGTCTGAAAATCTCCGCCTCTACGTCATTTTTTTAAAAGAGAGCAAATTGACATTATTTCTTGAAGTTTTTGCAGAATTTTCTGCGCATTGAGAAGAAATATCATGACAGTTTTAAAGAATTGCCGTTGGGTAGTTCTCCATTTAAAAAATAAAGTATGACAGGAAGTCTGCGACGTCGCAAACCGAGTTATGTGATTGCCGACTTGCACCGTCGATATGTATGTTTCACATTTAGCCATTCATATAGATCAAAAAAAAAAGAAGAGCCCGAATTAGAATTGTGGGCCGGGTGGCACCCTCAACTTTAACAAGTCGTCTCTGATTGGCTGACCCACCTGGTGCCCACTTCGTCGAGCACTTATGGAAATAACACCAGGTTCATCGAAAATATCACGAAAACAAGGAAAAAATTTTACAGTGGAAATTTCAGAAATCGATTCTCCAGATTTACAGAGGAGATTGTTGGGTAATACATGACACTTTTTTCTCAAATACACCTAACAGTTTGATTTGGAAATTAGTTTGTTCAACTTGAAATATGACACTTAGCGTCATGAAAAAACAAAATTTCAGGTCGAGCTTTTTGATGTATTTGAGAAAAAAGTGTCATGTATTACCCACCGATCTCTTCGGAAAAATCTGGAGAATCGATTTCTGAAATCTCCAACATAAAAAATTTTCCTTGTTTTCCAGACATTTTTTAAGGAAAATGAACCCTGTGATATTTTCTGCAAGGGGTCCAGAAAGTGGGCACCAGGTGGATCAGCCAATCAGAGACGACTCGTAAAAACAGGGGGTGCCACTCAGCCCGCAATTCAAATTCGGGCTCTTCCTTTCTCTTTGATATAGTTCCCCTGTCACCCTAAAGTAAGGAAAATGTTGCACGAACGGTCTTCATTGTGCAATTAGGAACCGCTATTTCAAGCTCATTTGAATTGGTGTCCAATAGACAAACATGAGTCCAAAAAATCACGATCCCTAGCTTCCTACGTAATCAACAAAAGTCACGCTCATGAGTTTTTGGACTTACGCTCTTTCGGCATGCATCAATCCTACATGGATAGGGGAACTAATAGAAGGTATGCTGTATCTCAAATGGATGTAAAATCAAAAGAACCTACATCAATTCTGACAGGAGCCTTGAGTTCCATAAGAATACATGCATGATGAGGCTGATGTCACAATAGATTTAGTTCCTTTTGATTCAAACGCGTCCAAATGAGATAGGAATAGTGGTTTCTTATTGAAAAATATAGTCAAAATGGTGCGCTGCACTAGAATTCTTAAAATTCAAATTTAGAAATACCCTGGTGAAGTTATGAATATCTCATCTACTCAATAACACAATACCCTGGTGAAGTTATGAATATCTCATCTACTCAATATCACATCATGAATGCAGTTCCTTGGATGCGCCACGGCCTCTAGTCAATCCCTGAGGAAATTGAATTCGAAATTCTTTGAAAAATTAAATGGAATGCAGAGATTTGAGTCTGAGATATTTTTATACAGAATGAATTCAAAATAAAAGGACAAAATACAAAAATAATTCCTGACCTTCTTTTCCGATTTTTGAGAAAGTGTTTTTGCTCAAGATATAAAATTGGTTCAAATGCTTACAAGGCAGCCAATTTGACAGTTTTTCTTATCTCATTTTGAGTGGTGCAGTTGTATGTTATTGATGACAGCTTAGCATAAAAAAATCCAGCATATTGAAATTAATATTTGTTTAAAAAGTATATGAAATGCTTGACTTGACAAAAAACAAATTTTTTACGGTTGTGAGCAAGAACAGTGTAGCTTCCGTTTTTGAGCTTTGTCCAAATCATCGGCAATAAATTCATTTTTATACTGACTTTTCTGTTTGTTTCGTTCATGCCCTTTTAATGTACACATGATGAGCCACAAGGCTACAAGCAAATACAAAATGAAGAAAAATTCCTTTTAAGTTTATTCTTCCTGTTTCATGGAACAAGAAATGGGGATTGAAATCTTGGCAACTTATATTTTTTCAAAAGAAGTTGTGAAAAAAATTGAAAGTTTTTCGTTAAAAAACCTATTTCCTCTGATACTCTTTGGTCTCCAAAAACTATACGATGTCCTCCCCTCATCCTGTTAATTATCAACCCTGAAATCTGAAAAATTGAAAAATTTCCCTTGTCCCCCCCCCTATTTGTCTTTTTCTTGTTAGTCCCTGACCCACCAATAACGCAACAAAAAAACACACATCACCTTATGAGGACAAAAAAAAAAAAAAAAAAAAAAAAAAAAAAAGAATAAATAAGTAAAAAAAAATCAGTGCATAAATAAAGCTGAAACAATACTCTTATACGACTTAAAGAATTTTCACCTTCTTTCAATGCAACATTAACAACAATCAGTACACCTATCGCTCAACTTTTTAAAGTCCATTGAGGCCATAAACAATTCATTCCTTGGTACAACTTTAAAGTAGTTATTGCTAAGTATACACTGCCAGGCAGTCAGAGAGTAATACAAAAAAGGTGGTCACAGATAATTGGAGAAACGAAATACAAGAAAAAATCAGCTGATTATTAGACAAAACGATAAACAAAGAGAAAATGGAGCAATCGTATTGGTAAAAGCGGGTGGTTGCAATGAGCGAAGGAGGTCAGAAATAGGCTAACTAATGGCAATACGAGAGACCCTACAGCTAGTTCGTCACTTTCCCCTTAGTTTATAACAGCCACCTGTTTCATCCAATAAGTTTGCTCTATTTTCTCTTTGCCTATCGATATCAATAACCAGCCTGCTAGATGAAAAATTACAGAAACAGCTCGACCTGATGAACCCAACTTTCAAGAGAATGATTTTGACACGGCTGGGGTATATTAAAAGAGCTGTGATGACTAAAGCTTTTCTTCTGTACTATCCCAGAATGATTCGACGCGCAGATATTTACCATTGGTGAGAATTATACAAGTGCTTGATGGGAGGAAGAATGTTTCTGCTGACACGGGAAGCTACTTGGGCGAGAAATAAGTCTTGGGATACCTGACAGCTTTGAGACCCACGAAGCAGTTTCTTTCGACTGGCAACCGGGGGTGATGCCCTTGCGGGGCAAGCGGAAGGTACAGTTACATAAAAAATTCTTCTGTCGATTCAGAGAGAGGAAGTCAAGTTCTTGTCACAAGCGGTTGATCTAGTATCGAAATTTCAATCTGGATAGTTACGAGTTAAGGAATACATTTAGATAGCAAAAATGAAAAAAGTTTCCATTGAATTTGGAGCAGGGGTGCCACAGAATTTAGAAAATGAAATTACCTGACAGTTCCCCGACACATTTTGATAAAATTCCCTGACAGTTGAAGATATGCCCGATGGTAAAAAAAAGATAATTTGAAATAGTTTTCGGGCGAATTTGTTGTTTGGAACATCAAACCCGTTCTAGAAATAATAAAAAAAGATGACTTAACAATATTTTCCTGCCACTTCCGTCACTCTCCCTGACATTTCCAGGTTTTCCCTGATATTATAAAATTCCCTAGAATTTCCCTGTATTCCATGACTGTTGTTCCTTTCCTAGTCTAAATATTTCACAAGAGCAATTTCAGTCAAATTGGATCCAAAAATCAATATTTTTTCAGTGAATCAAATTTAAATTGTTCATCGTTTTTTTTAAAACATATTTCTTAGGCAACAAACTTTAATCTCTGAAAACTCCAGTTGTTTCTGTGCAGAAGTATCTGTACAGAATTCTTCTTAGTAATGGTTGGCTATCAAAACTTTTGTTTGATTTGATATTTATAAGTTTATTGATACCAAAATGTTCTGAAAATATTCTACCAAGGAGCTACCAAAATCTCAGATCGAGTTTTTTTCTTTCCTCCTTTGCATTAAGATCTCTTTTATAAATGAACGCATTTAATCAGAAGTAGCATGACTGCATTTTACGTTTCCCGATTTCCTATCCTATTTTAATCATTTTTTTACAGGAAAACCAGAAGTTTCTGTGAATTTTCCTTGGATTTTTAAGGGATAAACTCACGGAATTTTGAGGCTGGAATAGCTTCGTTTTTCCCCCAGAATAATAAAATAAGAGTTGAAATGAGCCAAAATCTGATGAAGTTACACCGATCCTGGTAATTGATGGTCACAATCAGATGGATTCCACAGAATCAGCTTAACTACATCAGGCGTTGCCAAATTTCTTTTTATGTTTTGTTTTTGAAAGCACAAAACTAAGGAACATACCACCTTGAAATTTTGTAATTACATTCTTTACATATTTTAGAAAAAAATTAATAGAAAGTTGTACAGTCATATCGATGACCAAAGTGCAAAACGACGTACCTCCGTTTGCAAGGTTGCAGACTTCCTGTCATACTTTATTTTTTCTTTGGAAAACTAGTCAACATAATTTCTTAATAAATTTCTTGATTGTTCTCTATTAGCAGAATATTCTGTGTAAATTTCTAACTATAAAGTTGGCTTGTTTCTCTTTGAAAAAATAAAATGAAAGCAGTCATTTTGAAACAACACAATGGAGATATGTAGTTTTAAACTTCGGCTGTTGATATGTTGTTCAGTATTTTGTTTAAAAAAATAAATGAAAGGACACAAGGCTAAGTAAAATTAAGTCGAGATAATTCTGCTGTGGTAATAAATGATATAAAGGATACAACTCTGAGACCTCGTTCCGCTGGGTTTGTAAGCAGGAGTCCACGGGGCACATAGACGTGCTCATTTTGCTCCAAGACAAATTTGGCTACTTTTTTCAGGCACTGCAATGGAAAGAAAACCAAACGTAATGTTAGAACCTTATTTTAACCTTCTTTAAAGTTTAATTAAAGAGCACTACAAAACATTTAAACTTTGAAGTTTTGAATGTAACTCAGAGCACTGAACCTCAAACCAGACTGAGACTCAATATGATTGCACAGACAGAACTGAGATTTTGCCAGACTTCAGGATTTTTCAAATTTTCAGTCTTTTCCACAAAGTTCCCTGAGTTTTCCCTACACTTATGAAATTCTGATGCTATTAACTGTGTATTGCAATTTAAACTTAAAACAAGAGCATAGGTGGCTTCCAGTTTTAAACTCTTTTCACTGATCTGTTTTGAAACTCTTTTTTCTCCAAGTTCCTGAGTGAACGTAAAATTCCCTGGCTTTTCCCTGTATTTTCATTGCGTATTCAATTCCCTGGGTTTTCACAGTTCTTTCCAGTAGTATAAACACTTCTATGTGCATGGTTGGTGCTGACTTCTTCGCATTGGCATTTATTTTCCTAACCTAATAATTGACCTCTGCATGCCTCTAGCTACTAGAAAAGTTAATATACTTCCCAAAATATTCAAAATTCGATCCAGGCTAGTTAAAAAATTAGGGAAACAAAAGTGGCAATTTTACCTTTTCATAATGGGTTTCAGTACAAATAAATATGAGGTAAGCTGTGAGACAAGCTAAACAGCCTTCGCAATAAGTGCTACAAGTTGCGGTCTCAGCCTCTGCGAAATATGCATTCAACTGATTGATGGTGTATTCAAATGCAGATCTTTCAATCTGGAAACAAAAATCAATTAATTATGGATTTACAGTGCATTAGAGGAAACGATTCAAGTGTTACTCAATGTACAACAACTAGTCTATGTCTGTGTTGAACTAGAGTCGAACATGTCCGAATTAGGAGCGGGTTTTGATGACATGTAATAACTAGAGTTCTTTTTAAGGTGGCTTTCAGAACCATGTAACGTATTGAGAGTCGAACATGAGTTTTTATCATGTTCAGACTAGGAGTTAGTTAAAACCGTTCGGCACCAGCTGATCTTTCGTTATAGATTATAGCGAGCCAATCACGCAGAGACTTGTTGTCTCGCCACCTGTGACGCCAGCAAGTCTATATAAGCGTGCGCTGCCCCAAAATCTAGGTCTTTTACCATCTTTTGACCTGTGTGTCTAAACGTCACACCTTCTCTGCCCTTCAGGCGAATATTCAAGTGTCAATCTGTGAAAGTGCATCGTTGTGTGGAAATTCGACAAACTGAGAGCTGGGAGTACCCCAAGGGAGTAGATTAGGGCCTCTATTATTCTTAATTTATATAAATGATCTGAAGGAAGTGATGAAGGAGAGTGAATTGAGCCTGTTTACTGATGGTACGTTAGTCTTTAGTAGTGAAGGAGATATAGGGAAAGTGGCTGACGTAATCAGTAGAGATCTAAGAAGACTAGGGATGTGGTTGAAAAAAAATTGGTTGATTCTGAATGTACAGAAAACTAAATAAATGGTATTTGAAGTAGGGCCTGGTGCATGGGCGGGTAGGATAATGATAGAAAACTTTGAATTAGAAAGAGTTAGGGTGATGAAATATTTAGGGGTATGGATATCAGAAGACCTGAAAATGAAAGAACATATAGGGAAGGTGGCTAAGGAGTATAGAGCTAAGATTAGTGTGCTATGGAGGGTTAAGGATTTTATAGGGAAGGAGAGTAGGAAGTTGGTCTACAATTCATTAATTGGAGCAAAATTAAATTACTGCATTTCTCTTCTTGGAGAGGCAAGTAGTAAAGATATTAGAAATTTACAAAAGGGACAGAATTCGGCCATGAGATACATACTAGGGTGTGATAAGGAAAATAGAATAATTGATATGCTGGAGACTTTAGGCTGGCTATGCATAGAATTGTTGATAAAAGCCAGGGTTTTTATCTTCATATATAAGATGAGGAGAGGACTGATTGATATAAGAGACAGGGAGTTATTGGAAATATTAGATAGAAGAAAGGGAAGGAATTTAGAGTTGAAATACAATGACGCTAGGGATGTAGATAGTATGCTATTCTTTAAGGGAATGAGAGATTATACTTTGTTCGGTTGTGAGAAATGGGAGGAACTGCAATTGGGAGCTTTTAGAAATAGGGTATGGAATGAATTAATGAAATTCCAAAGAGATAACTGAGAACTTAAAAAAAAAACATGTTTCATTCTTACCTTATCTTCCAATTCGCTAGGAAATACATTTTGGAATTTGACAGGGGTGCCTTCGCTGTAGTCTCTTTGGATGAAAATTTTGGCACACAACTGAGTTTGAGGTGTGCCAGGGTTGGATCTTATGCCACTGTGAGGAGGTGTCATGCTTTGCGCTGGATACTATGCTGACTAAATACTATACTTATGGACCCTAAAACAAAGAAAAGTAATTTGGAATAATGAACGTGTGACTGATGAAAGAATGCATGTGTATTGATGCACTTCAAGTTGCCATTCTTATGGCATAAGTTTGCAGTTTTGAATACTATAACTCTATCCCTACTATAGAGGGGAAAATCTCATGAGTGCATTATTTCCCTCACGAAGTCAAACTTTTTGGTGAAACTCTAGTTACTGCTCTGTTCTAAACAAGATTTTTCTCTCTATTGTGAAAATACTCTTCGAAATGCAGAGATTCATGATGTCGCCTTGGCTGATGGTATCATAACCAACTTTTAACTGCTGATAGGTGTGTCTTGCCACTTTGTTCTTCAAGATAACATTATTTTCTTGGGCAGAAGTACGGAAAATGCAGCAGAAAATTTGGTAATGCACATGAATATTTTTAGATGAAAAAGGTTTCTTTTTCGGTTATTATTTTTTCTTGCTTCAAGAGACCTTCAAGGGCTAATCCTTTGCTGTTGATTTCCACAACTCTCAGTTCCTCCTTCTAACTTTTCCCATAACATTTCCTCCTGTTCAACATCTTATTCATCATACTCTCGATTATTTATAGTCCTGACGTTTTCCATGTATGGCCCCCGGAGAATAAATCTCCATCTCCCCAGTTTCCCTCTTGAAAACGAAGAGAGATGAGGGAGGAAAACCAGGAGAGCGTTCTGATTTCGATAATCAGTCCACTAGCACCTCAAGAGCCTAGCAAACCTCACCTTGATTACCACCACCTGAAGAATACTAAGATAAGATTTAACAGTCACCATTGCTGATTCACATGTTAAGTTACAGGCCAGAATATAGTGATAATTAGTTCAATACATTCCTTGTTCAAGTGGTTCTGAATATGATGTGTCACTTCGACACGCACACACTTTGCCCAGTCCATTCTGAACGAATAAGTGCAGTTGATCAGTTCTCATTGACGGTAGCATTTCTCTCTGGTGAAATTTAGATACTTTAAAACTGATAATCGGGAAAGAAATGTTTCCTTTAGAATGAAACAACATGAATCATCACTAACGATGTCATGGACTGAAATATCTTGGTCGATCGTGATCTAAGATTAGCTTCAGTGCAATGAGGATGCAAACCAATTATGCATGGTTTAAGTCATCCGATAAATCGTGGTATTATCAAGATGGTTTAATGAAAAAATACCAATTGACATACCAGGATCGTCGAAAAGTTCACATATTGGTGGTGATAGAGCCCAGGATAAGACAAGTCAGATCATGGTGGTCAACACAATTAGCACACTCAACTGCGAATGAATAAAGACGAATGGATAAAGTATCGTAGGAATAAATTCATTAGGTGTTCCACGCTGCAAGAATAGATGCACGATTTTCGATAGTAATCAATTAAATTTCAGAAAAAAAAGTGAGAATATAGGAAGGAAAACCTCGAAAAGCTCGCGAGATTAGCATGCTGAATGCTGTAATTTCGAGCACCACTCATCGCAGCATTGTCAAGTTTCAAATTAAAACAATTAATTATTTCATAACATTCAAAGTATATTAAGACAGCGGAGATGGTATTGGACAGCGAGAGATACTAAATGAATACTAATGAAAATCCAAATGCTTCAATTTCTGAAAGGATATTTTCAGAAGCGAAAGCATATCATTCAAACTGCATTTAACCAACCATTTAACTGGCACTTGACAACCCTGTGGTATTATCAAAATTTGTTGGTGTTGTTTATTTTCGGTGGCGTTTGTTGTGTTGTGGTTCTACACCGTGATAATGGCAAAGAATTACGTTTTGCAAAATTTCATTGATTTTTAATTTACTGTCGTTGATATCATTGTCATCTGATCTTTCATACGATATGGGATGTGTGATTACTTCGCTCAAAATTTAATCAACCTTTCGTTTCGGCAGCGCAGTCCAGGCAAGCAGGAATCACCCATGCATGTCATTACCTCCACGCTTGGCGAGATTTTTTTCGGTCTAGTCATCTGAATCAGAGGAAATCGCACTACTTAAAATCCGGTGTTTCTGAGCATGCAGAGAAGGCTCCACGATGGAAAATACAGAAGAGTTTGATGTCAAGCCTCTCATTAGTGATGGACAGAATAAAGGATCCGTCCGATGTACCCTGTGCAATTCCTTGATTTTGAATCCCGGCATGGGAGAGTATCGCAGCGAAGAGGTGAGTTCCCCATTCTCAATTATCCTTTAGAGACTCCTTGAGAGATCCTTTTAAAGGTAGGTTTTTATCATGACTTCAACCGTCACCTGTTGGATGACAAGCACATCATCTGGACCTGTCTCCAGATGTCAACAGATGGCTGTTGCATAATCAGATTACTCAGCTCCTTTTATTGAATGCCAGAAGAGATTTTACCTGATTTAAAGAACAGGATTCCGGCTCATGCTTTTATTTTTAACCATCTTTGACATTCTTATCTCTTAAGGTGGCTGGTAGTATCACCAATTTTACGAGAAGGGAGTATGAGAATTCTATTTTCAATAAGTTGAAGTAGGTATGAATAGATTTAATGCGAAAAGCTTTTTGGGCCCATATCGTCAGTGAGGCTACTACCATTTCAGAGCGAATACTATCCGATTATCAACTCATATAACTACAAAATGTATAATGATGAGAATAAATTCAAGAAAATTAGCAAATTTAAGCTTGCTCATCATATCTTGCAACAATGCAAGAACAATAAGTTTTGCCTATTTTTTCCTACATACACCAGACGGTACGAATATCTACTGTTCAGAGGCAGTTGTATCTGGTAACGCAGTTTTGGCAGTTGGCCTGACTTGAATTTACTCTTCCAGAAGGCAGTTCTATTTTTCACTCCTTTTCCATTTCTCACCATACAGTGCAAAAAAGTGCTGGTTCTGGGCAACACCAACCAAAACATAGTATATCTTCGTCAATTGTTTTTCCTTCTTAATTAAAGCAGAATTTTGAAAGAGCTTTTTCCACCATAATGCTGATGGGATCATAACTTCCAAGTTCTTGGTCTTTCCAACTTGGGAAATCAAACACAAGGCAAATTGGACTGCGTTTAACAGAAAGGAACCAAGCCACATCAGCTTTTGCCAACTTTAACTGGGCAATTTAATTTTTTACGAGGAAACGTTCGTGCGGATTCTTTTGAAAATTTTAAGGAATTCGCTTCGCACTAGGGAGAAAATTCCCTGAAATTTGCATGAAAATCTCCACAACCGTTTTCATGTGAAAAATTAAATCGCCCAGTTAAATTTGGCAATAGCTGATGTGGCTTGGTTCCTTTCTGTTTAATGCGGTCCAATTATGGACCCTGTAGCCTGCTTTTAGAATCCAAAGGTCTGCTGAAACCAAATTTTATTATTATTTGGTAAGGTGTCTTTACAACCACCTGGACATGATGAGCTTTAAAATTTGAACTTTGTTTGTGCCAATTTTGAGAAAAGTGGAAATTTGTCAATTTTTTTCCATACTTTGCATAACAGAAATTTTGGTGATCCTGGAGAGCTACAGTTCACTGGCTGCTTGCCGGCAGGGAAGGTGGGACATATGCAGCAGGTAGAAAACACACTGATTGATTCTAAAAATTCAGTTTTTGGGCTTGTTTTTCTCGAAATTTGCATTTAGAAATTCAATTTTAAGAACTCATCAGGCTTGGAAGAGCATGAAGAATATCACATCAAATAATGATGAAATTCAGCCGCCGATTTTACATGCATTCAGTATTTTACGGAGTGAAAAAAAATTACTTACAATTGAAAAAACTTCTTTGCGTCTAAATTTTTTAACAAACTTACTTGGTTTCTTGTAAATTTTCTGCCTAAACTTGTGTTAAAAAACCTAAATAGGTTTTTTAACACAACGCAATATTTGCATAAAAATTCAGTGAATTTTTGGGTGATAAATAGATATCCCTATTCAATTTCACTAAACATTTTGATGATTTTTTTGTGAAGTGCCTACTTAACAAATTGTAGGAGATGCAGTATTAAGAAGTAAAATGTTTCATGAAATTCAATCAACTTTTTATTTTTTTTTTTTTGTAATTTTCACTTTTTTTAATTTTATGTTAAGGTAATAAGTCAATGATTTTACACCGAACTTTTTTTCCCCCATAGACACTGCTCAATTTCTTGATGCTAGTTTGTTGACAGCATTGCTTCTTTTGGTTTCAGACTGCACTCCCGAACATGAGGAAGCGAAAGGACGCTGAATGCGAGGAAGAAGAAGAACCTTTGTCAGATTTTTGGTTCGTTAGGAATGTGTACACTTTTGAAAATGTTGGAATATCCAAAGCTAAGGAAGGAAAGAAGTATCTCACATGCGCTGATTGTGAAATAGGCCCTATTGGATGGTGTACTCTTGCAAATGATGATTGTTATGTAGCGATTAAGAGGGTAAAAAATATTGTTAGTTCATAAATATACTTATTTTTGTACATATATTTAACTTAATTTATCAATCTGAAACTCCGAAAGTAATGAGTAATAACAGGGTGTCTAGTTTTCTTTCATTTTGGGAAATATTGATTTTTTACAGCTACTTAAATCCTGATTTCATAATTTTTCCAAAACCTGATTTTTTGCGGAGAAAAATTAAAATTTCTGCTTAAGCGTTTGCAGAAGCAGAACTTTAGAAGTAAGTTCTAAGGCAAATGTAACTTTACAAAAATAGCTCGATAAGAAAATCCGATCTGACGGCCAACTTTTCTCTAATCCTAAGTTTACAACAGATTTTTCCTCAAATCCTGATGGAAGCGGGAAAATCTTGATACTAGACACCCTGAATAACGACCCCAAATTTTATTCTCTGGCCTTGTAAAAAGAGAGCTCTACCTGTGTCTAAAGTTTTATCTAAGCTCTTTGATCAGCTGACTCTGTAAATTTAAAGTCATGTGTTCTCCGTTAGGTCTGGTCTTTTTGTAGGTCGTAAAAATTTCATCAGTATTGAAGTAATGGGTCAGTGGCACCCATTTTTTTAAAAATTATTTTCACTGAGTAAACTAGGCAACTGGAAATTCTTCAGATTTTTTTAAACTCTAAATGGCAAAGGAAAACCGTTTTGAAAATGCCAAGGACCTGTTTGAAACATCATTTTCGGTGGGCGCTGATAACGCAGCCTGGCAGGGAAAACGGCGTTCGCTAATTAGCTGAACTCAAATTGAGTCATCGCCTCGCTACGTCAACGTGTCTGTCGGATTATGATTACCTTTTTCTCCCTTTAGAAATTATTTGTTGAAAATCTCCACAAAATTTTTACAGCCCTGGAAAAATTCCTTGCCATGGACACATTGGAATATCTTAAAAGAAGCAGATATTCATCGGAATTGGACCTCATAAAAACAAACATGCTGTTGTAAGTAGACAAGGATGAAAACCGAGTTACAAACATCAGAATAGTACTTGTGTTTGGCGGGTTAAATCAACAACAAAATGAACGCTTTAACAATTTTATTTTTTCTGCCTACAATCATGATTAGGTGATTAAATTATGCACCTGTTCATCAGTGTGTTTGAAGAAGTCCAATTCGAAATTGTAGTTGTCATCATCATTGCCTTTCATTTTCACTTGCAGTTTTTCTAAATTATCAGCTACGTCCATAGCAGCTCGATCTGAATGAAAATAAGAGGGAAAAAATCAAAATTAGATGTTTGCCTTTATAAAAAGACTGAAAATGATAGTATGGGAACTTAGTCTAATAATTTGGTTCCTCTGAGGAAGTGTTCAAAAAATTTTATTCATACATGTAAATGAAAACATGATAGCAACGATCAAGGAACATCTTTGATGCAACATTTCAGAATATATTATCTGGTCTCGATTTTTTTAAAAAAAAAAAAACTGACCAAAATATTTCCTTGAAATTTTCTAACAATATACTTGAATGCATGACAAAAATTCTCAAAAGGAATTTTTGTTTAATTTCCACCTAAAAAACTGAAACAAGGGCACCATCACTATCTGATATACGTACCTACTTTTCCATTAGAGCCATCTTACTACTTTAAAAGGTGGGTGAGAGAAGGTTTTTTAATTTCAATATTTTTTTTTTTTTAAATATGTACATACTAAATACTCATTTGTACGAGGGATGTATTTAGGTATGCATAATAAGTCTGGCTTTATTGAAGGATTTGAGAAAGAGCATACCTACCTATCTTGTAAGGAACTGATTTGATTCAGAAAAATGAAATTTGGGGGGTGGTTCACATGACACTAAATTGTACCATCAAGAGCTACCATAAATGTATAATGATTAAATTGAAAAAACAAGACTTTGGCAGAAGCAGGAAAGGGAGTTTCCCAGAATTCTCATGTAGATCCACTTTTTTCATGTAATGCTGCCCTAATTTAGAATTAAATTACCTGAAATAGGTCTATCTGCAGGAGACTTAAAATTCCTTAACTGCTTCTAGGTTTTAATAAAGCTTTAAGTGTCATTTGTCAGTGCTCCCTGTTTTGAGCGTTTCTGTGCCACTGATTTGCCTCCGGTTTTGTTAGCATCCTCATCTGACAGATAATAGGGACACAAAACTATTGCATGTAGGCCTGTTTTCAAAGATTCCGATGAATATAGAGATTTGTCTAAGTGGGAGATACATCAAAATGATAATGCTCAAAAATCTATTTTTCTACATTCACACTCGAAATTGTTTTAATTAATACTATAAACTTAGCAAGCAACTTACCTCTCCTTGCTTTCTCTTTTCTCACTTTTTTTGCTTTCATTTTCTGCACCTTGCGAATTTTCATGATCCCTGGCTCCATGGCCACGACATCCTCTTCATCCTTGCCTTTGTCTTTCTTCTTCCGCCAGCGCTGTTTCCCTTTTTTCAGCGGGCCCACAGTGTCTATCGCTATATTTTCTGAAAGCTGAGAAAACATAGTGGAAATTAATTTACACATCTTTTCTCTTTAAACTCAGGGGTTCATAGAATGAAATTACGATTGAAAAAAATATTTTCACATGATAAAAGTACATATTTATAGTGATTTCAAAAATTGAAGAGACAATTTAGTGAAATTCAAAGACTTTTCAAGACAGCACAAACTCTGACAGGATGTCTTCAATCTGGGCAGGAAAAATTATCTGTCTTTCCTATGTTTTCCCTGACCAAAATAATAAAAATATCCTGACTTCCAGCATTGACAATTTGCATGCATAGGATGAAAATGAAAAAAATTTTGCCTTTAGAAATTAAGATAATTTTTACAAGCATTAATTTCGCCACAAATGATGGATATATGTGAACCTTTTTCTTCAGCAATGAATCATTTGACTAACTAAAACTGCAATCCTTACTGAAACTTATTCCTCTAATCATTATTCGGAGAGTAACTTAGAGCATTGAATCTAAAATTAGACAGAGATTTAGAATGATTGAGTGGAGAGCTCAGACTTTTTTGATTTAAGTTACAAGAATTCAAATTTCTAGTCTTTTTCATAAAATTCCCTGTCTTTTTACTGGTTTCCCTGATCTGATGAAAGTTCCCTCTTTCCACACCTGTAGACACCCCGTCTAAGAAACTATACGATAAAAACAAGCTTACATCATCTTGTGGTTTGTCCTGCAAATCCTCGCCATCTTCCTCCATTTCTTCATCCTCATCTTCATTTTCGGCTTCCTCATCAGAGTCAGGATCTTCTATTGTTTTCAGGGGAATAGAGTCGACACACACTTCGGCAACTTTTCTGTCGGGCTGCGATTTCATTTCCTTATCGTTCAACTCGATGATCTTGTTCAAGTCCGCACTCTCCATACCATGATAAGAATCTACATTGAATTCTGCTGCAACTTCGTTCACGATCTTTGCACTAAGGTGGATTTCCGAAGGGTCCTTTTCTGGAGGAACAGTGAAGTACCTGAGACAGATAGAGCAAAGTTTCTGAGACTGATGAGACTATTTTTGAATTTGCCACTTGTTCTCAGGTTCATAATTGAGATCTAACAGTTGCGAGGCCATTGGAATGTGGGGTCTGAATCTCCTGTCTACAGAGGTGCTAATCAAATCAGAATGTTCCAGTGGAATTACAACTAGAACTAGGACCTGAGCCATGGCTTCGACAGAACCAGAAACAAAATTACACGGCCTGGAATTGGATTCCAAATAGGTTCTGCATGATGCGAACTGTATCAGCTGATGGTTAATTTTTTATTCTTTTAAAAAAATATAATCATAATGATTTCCTCAAAAGCATTTTACCTTTGAAATAATCTAAGAGTCCTAATTTTTAAAACAAAAATCGTTTATTAAGACTTCTTCGCTCAATTTTAACTAAATTAAACTCTTAGCTCAAAAAGTTATCAACTAAATTGTGTAATTCATTTAAAATTTCAGCTTCTTTTTAAGAATAACCCCAAAAAAATAATATAGTTTACTTTTAAGTTTATTAAACGAGCGTACAATTCTATAGAGCCAAAATGAAATGTTTTAATTTAATTGAATATTTCAGCTTTTTTTAAAAAAAAACATTCATATGCCTCTAAAACGTTATCAAACAAAAAAAAAATAATCCTTCAAACCAAAATGGAACCAACTCTTTAACCCGAACTATGACCTTACTGGAGCAAGAACCATGAACCTTTCCCACCAATGACCTGAAAATTTTCTACCATGGCAAACGAACCAAAAACGCAATGATTATAACTGTTATAGAGTACAAAAAAGAAATTTTTAAAGAAAAAGTCATCTTTCTAACTTAAAGTTGAATGAATGATGAATACCTGATCTTTCCTCTGTGCCAGTCATGCATCAAAGTTCTTGCCGCACCCTCCAAGTCTGGGATACCACAGACTCGAACCTTTTTCAGTCTCTGAGCGAGCCTTAAGAAGAACTCTCCAGGTGTCTTGTAATCCGGTATATCATACAATTCTTTCATCTGCTGCTTTGACGCCCTCTGCAATATTGCTGTCGCAGCAGGAAACACGTCTGACGAGGTGAGGTTAGGAATGTCGAAAGCTCCTTTCAAAGCAACTATACCTTTGTCTTCATTCCTTGCAAAAACAACACCAGGACTATCTAGAAGCTTGATATTTTTATCCAATTGAATGACTTGCAGTGTGCGCGTGATTCCTGGTTTCTTGCCGACCTGGCAAACTTGCTGTCGTTTCAAACTGTTGATTAAGCTACTTTTACCCACATTTGGAAGACCAACAACTCCGACGACGATGGACGTTTTGATATCTTTGTTACGGCAGTAGTTCGCTAAGAGCGTCATCAGAAGTTCCGCTCCAACACAACTTGAGACGTTCAGCGAGAGTTCCATTTTATCGTTTTTCACTAACTTACGTTGGCCTAGTTTCGATTGTTGTTGCTGGGTGCTCGCTTTAAATGCTACAGTTGGCCGTGATTTCCGAAGAAATACTAACCATTTCTCCAAAGATTCTCGAGGAACTAAATCTGAAAATAAGCAAGAAGCGCAGTTAATACTAAATATTCAAGAATGATTCCATCATACATCTAACGTAGTTTTGAAATATAAAATAAAATGAGCCTCAGCTCAAAATATTACTTAAACTTTGAACCACCAGCTGTTTCTTCAAACGATGATTCAACCCAGAAAATATTGCAGCCCGTATAGGGTGACAAGTTTTGTTTGGATTCAAAATACCCGAAGTTTTAGGATATTTGAATACCAAATGTTCTGACTTTCTAATGTTTCCTTCTTTGTTTGAATGATTTCTCATAAAAATTCTTTTCACAAAAAATTTGAAACAAGAAGTCTCTTGAAATTGAAAAAAATGCAATGTTTTGGCTGGGAGAGACAATATCAAGACTTGGCGGCTAAATTCCCTGATGTTTCAGGGTTTGTCAAAATTCCCAAACATTTCCAGGTTAAACCTGACTTTTCAAGAACTTGTCAGCATGCGTCTAGCCCTGTGAGTTGTCATTACGATGATCTACAGAAATAGGGACCAGGAGTGCAAAAAGTTCTTTGCCCTCTTTTGAGACACTTTACATATTGCTTTCCATATAAGACTATTGAAGCTATGGGAAGTTTGCAAAGGATAAAAATGTAGTTTTGAAGAAAACATGTTTCTAATTTACCCGACCATGTTCAAGATTCAAAAGTTTTAGATTAAAATATAACTCTACGCCCAATATTGTCACAAAAACAAACTGAACTACTCCCAAGTTACTCTTTCAAGAGCGGAGGGCATTCTCTGTCAAAAACCTGTCGTCCACCTTTTTAACCAAACTTCAAAAAAATTGAGGCGTTGGGTGCGGAGAGGGCATTTCTTAGTTGCAGTGTATCAAAATCTTCACTGCTAATAATTTATATTTTAGAGAAGAAACTATGTAATGAATTTTCTGAACTTTTAGGTTTAGCATTGTAAAATCATGAAGAAAATTCAAATGTTAAAAAGAACTTTCAAACAGTCAGCAGAGAGTCTGAGACACCGCAACCAAGAGACGCCCTTTTTGCATCCAGCACTTCAAAGAGACTTCCTAAGGGACTTGGCTCTCTGGACTGAGGTTACTTATCCTGCAGACTGTCAAAATTATAGCAAGTGTAAGATTCTTACCCAGTTCGAATGTATGCTTGAGGTCAACGATAAAGGAAGAATTATTTCACAATATATCATTTTAAAAAGACGTATTCATCGGACAACTTCATCCAGTAAACTTTAAAACATTTTAAGGGTAAGAATTTACATATTTTTAAGCCTGCTCAAGGTCAAACATCGGTAGATGATCTACATCAATCAGTCATGTATGTCTGAGGTGAGTCAATAAGTCTGAGGCAAAAATGTAGACAAATGGTCCCAAAGAGCTTACCAGCCTTGTTCAAAATGTACACCAGTCGTTTTCCAGGGGAGGCGTCTACGGACTTTTCTACTAGAACACTTCTTGTGCCCAGAGGATCTCGAGCATCCAGGACATGCAAAATGACATCTGCAGCTTCTATCACCTGAAAGATACCAAAAATATTCCCATTAAATTTGCTTCCAGTCTTTGAAAGTTCGAAAATTGAACATGTTATCTTGAATACCTGACTCAAAGAAAGACAGGCTTGACAGTTGCTCACTTGAGAAAATTTTAAATGGAAAAATATTCAGGGAGGAAAGGTTTCAATTCTCCAAAGAGAAGAAAAGCCAAACCTTGCTGGTCCATAGCGTTACATGCTTAATTTCTTAAAAAATGATTGTGACCAATTCAGGCCAAACTAATTGCATATTACAGGCTAAAAATTGGGACTTAAAAAGTAAGTCTCCAGTTTTACTTTATTTCTTGTGAAATGAAAGAAGGGATTTTTATGAGCGTTTACCTGTTTTTTACGGCAACAGTAGCCATACCGGTGGAAACAAAAACTAAATAAAATCGTTCACTTAGGTAGTGGGTTTGTAGGAAGTTTCAGGGATGTAGAGACCTCCAGAATGCCAACCATTTACCAATCAATATCGAACTTTTTGGTCTTGCGACATATTTCTAATTTGCCTCATAGCTAAACGTCCGATTTTACGTCAAAATTTCTGCGATCTATGTAAAATGACCGATTTTTTTCTCCTTTTTGAAAAAACTAAGAAGAGGATGAAAAAAAAACACCTGCTCTGAAACTTGCCTCAAAAACCTAAGATTTGCCAAACATTTGCTTGATCCTAGGATTACAAGATCAGGCATTTTTGGCACCCATGGAAAATTTTAAAATAGTGGTATTGTTTGATAGACATCAAAATGCAATTCCAAACTATGTGTACTTCATTCCTTAGAGAAGAGAAAAATTATATCATGCCTTGAAATTATTAAGGTTTCCATTCACCATTGTAAAGATTCTTTTCTAAAAGTGTCAAGCCATGATGTTGATTTTTTTTTCTCTCTAAAAGATTTAGCTTAAGCTTAAAAACAATGCAATTGTCGATTGGTCATCTTGAGATTTAGCTATGGAATTAATAATAAAAAAAAAAGATCTACCTTCTTGAATTCTCTGTACAATGAACGATGAGTATTTCTTTGTGAATACTTGGTTTTTTCATCCTTGAAATCTGAATTTTCCTCTGGTTTATCAAAAATACTGTGAATCTTTTGCCTTCTTTCCACATCTTTCATCATTTTTTCGAGAGATGGGCCTGGAGCATCAACTTGCATTGTGTCCAACCGTTTACTTTCACGTACTTTGACCATTTCCTCAAACGCTTTCTTTTTCTCCTCTTTTCGGCTTTCATTGTAGGCATCCACATCTTTCAAAAATCCCTCTTTCAGAGGGCAGTTCGGAATTTGAATAATCTTTGGTCTTGGCCCTGGAAGAAACAACAAACCAACATTAATTAAAGTACATGAGAAGGCTTTATCATTTAAGTGTAGGGTCACCTTAGCATACTCTGGGTTTTTCAGGACAGCTTTTTGCACACCTCCTTGAAGGGTCATCGAAACTCTGGTTTGTTTTGAGTGCAATATATGTCACCTTTACAAGGTAGGAGCCTAGTCAAGACCAATCCACACAGGTCAGTCATTTCCGAGGACGAGTTTAAGAACTCTACTGCGCAGTGACATAGTATTGAGTGCCTGCAATGTATTTCTTATGGGAGCACCCATTGTGACGTAGCATTGAGTGCTGCAAGTTAGGGCCGGGCGGGGGAGTAGATTTCAAAAAAGCTGCGCAATGACTGACCTGTGTGGATTGGTCTTGAGCCTAGTCCAACTTTGGGGTGACAAAGACGATTGCCAGCCTCTATGCCTCAGCCAGTCAGCTCCGCTGAGTACTACTCTACCGTGCTAAGGAAGAATGCCATATGAACATTCGAGAGTTGCCAAATTTCCCTTGATAAAGTGTTCATTTTTGAGGGAAGTTATGAATATTTTTCCTCAAAATTTTCAGTTGTTTTTGATAAAATCGTTAGAGAAAATTGAAGAAAAATTTGAACGATTTTCCTGGTAAATCAGGTTTTTATTGAAGGAAATATGGCAGCGTCTGAAGGTTCATATGGCGTTCTTCCTTAGCACGGCAGTACTATTCATTTATGAAAATTTGGACCTATTTACTTCGATCCTAATTCCTATCTTTCAAAAACACCTTAATTAATTGTTGATAATGTAAAAAGGTAGGATAAAAGTAAAAATCAGAACTGTTTGAAAAAATTATTGATTTCTTTCAATTATCCATCTCATCTCTTAAAAAGAAAATCAAAAGTTGATGAACACCTTAAATCTATGTGATGCCCCCTAGCCATCTTGTTACTTTTTCTTGTAAACTTCTGTTGATGGGCTTGATGCCCATGAATTTGTGAATGAATAGATAAACAAAAAAATAAATTAAGGTATACTTTTTGGTGCTTTTTTGGCCAATTTCTTCTCCTTTTTCTTTTTCTTAGCAACCCTCTTTAGCATGGCATAGCGAGTAGTCGCGGTTTTCTTCTTCTTTTTGCCCTTTTCTGAAACAAAATGAAAACAGGTAAGTAATGGTAAGTAATTTAGGAAGGAAAAAATAAACATGAGAAAAGGATAATAAATGAATCTGGAGGGGAGCTACTTGAAAGAAAAGAGGAAAATAGTAAGCAGTGTTCGAAACTCACATTTGAGTTTCAGGAGCCATGTGGCGCATCAAGCCCAATTTTTAGGCGCCATTGAAGATTTTTTAGGGGCCAAATCGACTTTTTGCCTATATATTACAGCGCATTTAGTGAAAAGTTAGATGCAAGATGTTTTCGTAACAGGACTAGTAAGTATAGCTGTAACTCGGGGAAGACAAACTCACTAAGAATGAAATCGTGAAGAAAAGATAGGTCTCAAGTTCGATTCCCGGCCAAGTGACCCGAGTTTGATGGTCTCAAACACTAGTTGCCTGGGACTGGTTGGTAGGGACGGAGGGAGAACTAAAGCACAGGATTAGCTCTTGTGAGTTATTTGAAGTAGTAAAAAAAAAAAAAAAAAGCAGGTGTTCTATTCTTACAAAGGTTTGTTTTTAAGGTTAATATGAATAATACAGCTGCCTTCAGACAAATTGGCAGTTGTCTAAATTTTATGCGGCTATCATGTGCAATTGACCACTTCAGGTATCAGTGCACAAAAATCACGTCCCCCCTTCTACTATGCAAATTAGGAGAGCCCCCATATCTATCAGATCTTGGTCGCTACTGAACAACCGCGACGTAACCGCCTATGAGTTAAATGTAAACTCATTTGACAAAAGTACAAGAAAATGAAGGGTGTGACCTCATATCACTTCTCTGCTGACGATTTTAGCTAACTGTAATAATACTATTCATTACTCCACAGGCTCTGATATGATAAAACAAAGGTAATTGAAGTAGAAACTGGTGCATGATTAAGAACTGCGTCAGTTCAGTGGCCCGATTACTGAAACTACATCGATACAATACGGAGAGACATAGCCCTCTCTTTACTATGCAATATATCGCAATTCAATGTTGTATCGGGCTGCTTTAAGCTTTCAATAATCAGCCTGCGGGCATGTTCCACTTCCGGTTTCCTTCAGGAATGGGCAAAATACAATCGTCTTAATGGATTAGCTAGCAGATGTAGGCGGATGGATCCGGTTGATTAAAATAACCAATACCTTCAAATTTTAGGAATTTGGAATCTGCTGGTGGTATGTACCTTCAGCACATTCTGCACAGACAAATAAACAGTGAATATTATACTTACTGGCAATGTTCCTCATAGACACCATGGTCGGGGGTTGTCACTGAAATATAAGGAAATTAAAAAAATATCACTAGGTAAGAGACGAAAAAACGTAAATTGTTAAAAAGAATCTTAATCATGTGTTAGTCACGTTGAAATAAAACACGTTGATTTCGCTATTTCGTTTTGTCAAATTGAAGAGGTTAGGACTTAGGAATTAGGATAGGATTAGTTCAGTTCTCTGTTGTAAGAGAGCGTTTGGAACAAAAACAGTACATATCATTGTCAAATATTGCAAAAATTTATTTAGCAATTAAAATATAAAACTAATATATAATTTATTTTAACACTTAGAAATAGGTACAGTTTAATAGTAGAATTTTCCAATTTTTTAAATCGCGCATTGTTTGGTAATAAATTAATACAAAGTTAATTTTCAAAAAAACAAAAAACACCTCTTTAAGCAAGCGATGGCAACTCAGCCTTGTTTCAAAAAATTCAACCAGAAGCGTCCAGCCCACATACAAACTAGAGGCTTCAAAGAGACTCATCGATTGCCCCGACTTAAACCGCTGGCCAATGAGAGGGCCAGGAAAGGCATCGATGAGTCTCTTTGAAGCCTCTAGTTTGTATGTGGGCTGGACGCTAAAGAGCGATAGCCAGGTGAATGTGTCCTACCAGGGACGAGTTCTATAGGACGCCGTTCTGTTGTGAGCGGGTGATTGCAGCGCATTCTCGCGTAGGATCCTAGTCAACTCAGAGGATCCTTCCCCCCGAACCTCGACTCATCCATCGCCCGCTCCAAAAGTGAGGTTAAGCCGGAGATTGAAAAATAACACATAAGGCGGCTGAATTCTTAAAAAATAAGTATATTTTTGGCGTTTTTCGACCCCTTTCGACTAGGATGCGCCCGCCGCATGTAATAGAACGATGAAAAATTCGATTTTTCGCAGTTATACGCGATCCTACGGATTTTAATGAAGTCCAACAACTGATAACAGCAGTGAGTTGCGAGGATCCTACGCGCGATAGCAGCACTAGTACCTGCTCACGAATTTTCACATTGACTCTTACGGGAGTCCAGGGTCCTATAGAACTGGTCCCTGGTCCTACTGAGCTATCCTACTAACATGAAAGAACGCACTTGGAGGGTCCGCTGCCGCGTCCCACTCGTGACCATAGAGTACATAGAGTCGTAATGTAATTGGGAGAGCTGGCGCCACTTTTAAGCATTTTCCATGTCCCGAATTCCGAGACTCCTGTGTGACGCCGGGTCACTTTTTCGATACATAATCGATTGTTTGCGATACACGGGTACCCGGCCATCCGATGACAACAACAACAACAACGAAGGAGATAGGAATCACCATGTATTCCACACCGCCATTTTGGATCGAAAATGTATCGAAAAAGTGACCCGAACTCGGCGCACACCGGGCTCGGAACTCGTCGAGCAGAACATGGCGCCAGCTCTCCCATTTACATTACGACTCTATGTACTCTATGCTCGTGACCGGTCGACGTGCTCCTAAACGCCGCCAGGAGCGCAGGAGTCCATCATCCAGCGTTGCCAAGTCTACGAAACCCCGCTTTTTGCTTCACCAATGTAGCTCACCTTCCTGCGACCCAATCACTTCTTCAAGGGTGGGAGGGGTGA